TAGCACTGCCGCCTCACAGCAAGAAGGACAATGGGTAAATCACCATGCTATAGTGTATGAGAATGCAACTAAACTAAACAGGGGAGTTCAGAGACCTGATGGCTATGGGGGAAAAGTGTGAAGTGTTCTTGGTGGAGAGTGACCTGTAGCGCCTCCCTGAGGGAAGCAGGTGGAAGAGGTGGTGAGCAGTTTGTGAGGGGTCGGAGATGATTTTCTTTGCTCGCTTTACAGTCCAATGTGTATAAAGGGAATCAACTGAGGGCAGTGGTTTTCCTGTGATCTTTGTTGACAGTCCGCTGTAGTTTTTTCTTTGTTTGGCTGTCCATGCTACCATACCATACTGTGATTGATGATGTAATAATGACCTCAATGATAGCGGAGTAGAACAAAACAAGTAGTTGATGCATGATCTGGTATTTTTTAAGCAACCTGAGGAAGTAAAGTCTATGTTGAGCTTTTGCAATAATGTGTTTGGTGTTAGTTGTCTTCTTATTAACTTCTTGTTAACTTCTTATTGCTAATGTGTGTTACTAAGAATTTAAAGGAGTCAGTGATGGTGATTGGGTTGCCGTTTATTTGTATGGGTGTTTTGGGAAATGGCCTACGTCTAAAGTCAATAATGAGTTCCTGGGTTGTGGCTGTGTTAAGCTGGAGGTCATTGTTCGAACACCAAGTGACAGCTTGGTCCACCTCCATGTGGTATTGTGTTTCATCATTGTTTGTGATGAGGCCCACAATGGTTGCATCCGCATACTTTGTTTTCAGTGAAGTGTCTGTGGATGCAAAGTGTGCGGTGTAAAGGGAGAAGAGCCAAGGGGAGAGAACACAGCCCTGAGGAGCTCCTGTACTGAGGGTGAGAGGTTATGTTATTAGCCTTTACCCTCTGAGACCTATTCCACAGGAAGCTCCTTATCCAGTGGCATATGGCTGGGTCAATGTTCATTTCCAAGAGTGTGGTTTAAATGGGTTAATAGTGTTAAAGGCGGAGCTAAACTCTATGAACAGAATGCGTGTGCAGGTGTTTGGTGATTCTAGGTGTTGCAAGGTATGGTGGAGTGCTATGCTGATTGCATCCTCAACGGAACTTTGTAGGTGAATCTTCAGAAAGAGCCCAGCCCCACCCTCCCCCATCATCCTGAGTGACTCCCCATGATATAGTTGTGCAGCGTGGTTGTGGGAAAATGGCTCAATAGCACCCCCTACAAAATTTCACAAAAGCAGCCCCCACGTGTGTTTTCATGTAGCTGTACGAAATGTTGTGGGCCAATGTATCGTGCCCACACTTAAAAATAACCCTCATGGAGCCATACCCTACACCCAACAGGAAGTCAGCCATTTTGAATTGAAAATTTAATTTGTCACTATTTACATTCTCAGTACTTTAACGAACTCCTAGAGCTTTAACTCGATCGACTTCAAATGTGGCCAGTGCAATCTGAAGAGCCTTGCGATGTTAAATTGCAAAGATTTTTTTTGATTACTCATGGTCTGTCCATGGCGTGATGTTGAATTTTGATGTTTCACTATGAAAAGTAATATGTAAATGGACTGGACATGGTCAAATCTGTCCAATTCTTCAAATGCGTGATAAGAGTTTCGCCCTGAAGACATCTACATGCCAATATCCTGTCATAGAACTATGAAATAGGAAGCTGTTTTTTTGAGGGGCTAAAGCTGCGTTTACACCGAAAGCGAATTTCATATTCGCCTCGCTTTACTCGCGCGAGTTTGACCCCTGGACATTTTGAGTGTTCACACACAACGCGTTTTAAACGAATAAACACAGCCTGCGGATACTACTGCAGTATGAATCCAAAGTAAAGAAAACCTTTTTCTGTGATTTAAAAGCAATAAACGGATCAAACTGATGCAGAAATAACTACAATATGATGCCGTTTGGTTAGACATATGAAATCATGCTTTGTCAGGTCTGTCAGCAGGACGACAACTTTTAAAATTTTCTGAATGGACTTCGGATCGATCAGGGCTATGCTAACCTGTTCACAGTAAAGTACAACAATAGCTGGATAAAGTTACAGACACACATTTTCTGAACTCACCAGGTAGTTCAACTTCACTTTCTTTTTTCCAAGCAATGTCCAGCTTTGTCCGGTTTTTATATAAATATGAAGTAGTAGTCCAGCAGAACTCTGGTGCCATCCGACGCTAACAACAACAGTGGAACCGGATGTGCACGGAAGCTAGCTGCCGAGAAGATAAATCAAGTTGTAATCCCAAAAACTAAAGTAAAAATTCCCCCCTATTTAGCAGCTCCCCTTCGGCCTGTGGATTGTCATTAAAACAACTCGGCAGGTCGTCTCCAAACAACCCTCAGAAGCTTTCGCAACATCACATCAAGCAAATTTTTTGCCCAAGTTGAAAAATTTCTCACACGAACCAGCGAATGTCGCGACAAACATCAAAAGGTCGGTAATAACCAATCAGAAGCAGAGAAAGGCAGGTCAGTGAAAGACGGTAAACAGCTTCGATTCAGCTGTAGGCTACATGTTGCCGACTAGGTTGGCAATTTGGACTGGAGCAAGAGTTTCAGAGTGGTGAGTTATTAATCTGTAACAAAAGTATCTTTCATCCATAAAGTTTTATGGATTTGTCTCGTTTTCACTAGGGGAAAAAAAGGTTGTTGACGAATATATTTCATTTAGTTTTGTCTGATGAAAGTTAAACTAGTGCGAGTAACTTTTTAAGGCAACAACCTAGCTTAACTCCCTCCCCTCTGCTAATCGTTTAATACATAGTTGGACTTGTCACTGCAGAACTGAGAAAAACATTAAAAAATGTAATTTTTTGTAGTAGACTCAGCACCATTTGTTCCGTTATAATCGAAAAGCAAATCGCAATATTGTCTACAATTATAGCAATGGGACTTTCTCCAAATCTGGCACGATTTGCATCTGCTTTGAAGAACCCACACTCGTCAATGTAATGAATAGTGAGGCTCACATATGGCTCAGATGTACGGCTGGACCATAGGTCGGTGGTTGTCCCTTAGCTGAATTTTCAGCTTTCCACAGTACTCTTCGTAAAGATGAGGCAATGCGGTTTTGGAAAAGTATTTTCTGCCTGGGAGTTCGTACCTGGAGTCCAGCACTTTAATCAATTTCAGGGGCATCATGTCTTTCACGTGCTGGTTAAATCCTTGCTCCTTTTTGAATGCTTTTTATATGGGGAAATGGTTCCAAAAGATGGCACGATTGATTGTTGCTTTGGTACAGACCTGCTTGCGCTGCTAACAGCATAAGAACAACTGCCATGTTGGACAAAACATGTGGACCAACTAACGTTAACCTGGGCCCGCATTTTTGTACTCTGTGTGGTCGCTGGGATGGTATCTTTACAGGTGTCTTGTTGTGTAACCCGTCTTGGTTGTCAGTGACTGACGGCATATGTTGCAGACCGGCTTTATTTGCGCTTTCCAGATATTCAAAGAATTTCTACGTAATTGATGTTGTGTGGCCTTTTTTATCAACAATTTCCTCAGCTTTGGAAGATAACGCAAGTTCGCCTTCAGTTGCATTCGTGCCCGTCACACATTTTTTTCTTTCCATTCACTTTCTTCACCGCCAGTGGCTCAAACAATGCTCTGCGTAGCAAATGGGTGTGTACTTAGACGTGCAAGTGTCTACATATTTTGATTGTTTTATCACCCAGCCCTACTGAAAGCACAGGCTAGTTAAAAACAAAGGCAACTTAAGTTTAGCCAAGTTTTGGGTTAGCAAACTGCTGTCACAACAACATGGTTTTAGCACTGTGCCAGCGCTGGAGAAAGGTCTGGCTGTATCCATTATCATTGTGGTATAAGGGAAAAAACGTTGTGCCTTGTTTGCTTGTTAGCATGTAGGTTGGTAGCTCGGGGGTTGTTTTTGTTGAATGCTAACTGAAATAGTCGGGCAATGGCAGGCTTATACCAATACCCTACTTCCTATAAGCCAGGCTCGTAATTATCTGATGTGCATCATAGACTAATACCAGTACAGCTAACATTTTGAGTTCCATAACAATCCTGTTTTAATGTGTTATGTATCGAGTATGTATGTAGGTGATTAATTGTTCTTGAAATATGTTTTCTTTACAAAGACAAATATACAGCTTTAATTTGAAGGATTAAATTGATTGACCTAATATAAATTTGTCTGAACATTCATGAATTATCCATGATGTCAGAAAAGTAACCTGACTTTTTTGCATACCTTTGGCTGTATTCATCATCGTTTCCATGGACACGGTAAATAAACAAGGCTGCACAGATTCTGTGAAAATTTAATTATTTAAATTTTTTCAACTCATTTTCACTTTGCACAGTTTACAATGCAGACTGTTGTGATGATTGTGACCACTGGGCATTGTGATTGTACCCGCCCATCCCGCCGCAAAAAACTCAAAATTGTAAAAATTTTCACATATTACTGCCCTGTGAAAACAAACATTTGTATTATTTTTAAGCAAACCTGCTTTGCACACCTGCCTCTGACTTCTCTTCTACCCACCGTCACACACACCTACACTTTGGGTCTCTCACTGCAAACCCACCGGCTTGCGTGTTCACCGTTGCTTTACCGGGTCTGTGCTTGTACAGTATCCTCCACCGTGTCCGCGACTATTCTTGTAATAGGCTACCAAATTTTTTACCGAGCGAAGTCTATGCCAGTGAACACATGCCTTTATAACAAGACTGCTACCCCACCCCCCGGACGCCACACCCGATGCTGTTGTCCATCCCAGTGTTTCGTTGTAGACATCGCCCAACCTTAGTTTGCACCCTACTGTTTTTTTTTAAACACCCAGCCATTAATTCACCTTGCTGTGTGAGGTAGGGAGGGGGGTGCGTCCTTAAAGGCGCCACTCGCCACAAATGTCATCCAGGTTTGTGCTTAGGAGTGTGGCCTGAACGACCATTATGTCTCCATATTTGGTAACAATAGCATACTATATATATAATATAATTTCCTGTAATATTAGTTATTCTTTATTTTCCATTTCAGATGCCGAGTACCATGGGTCGGAACACCAGCAGAACTATCTCCCACAGTGTTCCCGTGGTGGTGGTGTGCCTTGCTGCTTTGCTTCTTAGCAATGTCATGATCTACCTCTATCTGGACTCTGTGAATTACACAGATGAGCAGCTCCTGTTCTCTCATGTAGGCTGTGTGCCTCGACACTTCAAAATGGCAACCATGAAAAACTGCACCCCCTGGCTTCAGTGTTTACAGATAAAAACAGAAGTGCGCAAGCTGAAGCTGATTGGCCAGGGAGTTGTTAAGAAGGTAGATGATCTTTTATACTGTACAGTGGCATAGTTTATTGTTTGAACTGAATTACAGGGAATGGATGAAATAAGAGAAACATAAAACTAACAATACCTCAAGACAATTAAATTTCCCCATCCTATTCAATTCAATTCAATTCAATTTTATTTATATAGCGCCAAATCACAACAACAGTTATCTCACAGCGCTTTTCATAAAAGAGCAGGTCTAGACTGTACTCTGTGATGTTATTTACAGAAGCCCAACAGTTCCCACCAAGAGCAGCACTAGGAGACAGAGGCAAGGAAGAACTTCCTTTAAGAGGCAGAAACCTCGAGCAGAACCATGGCTCAGGTTCTGCTCGAGCAAATATTAACAGCAAATATGTACAATGTGCCAGATTTGTGAATGATATGAAATGAAGTGATATTTACATGTGCAGAGATATTTGTATTATTTGCAAGGGGGGAGTGTCAGTGGGGGACCGGGGTCTTGTTGTTTACTCGCTGCAGACGGGAAGAAACTATTTTTGTGGCGAGAGGGGAGAGTCTGAAACAGTTTGTGTCCGGGGTGGGAGGAGTCAGCTGCAATCTTTCCTACTCGCCTCAGAGTCCTGGAGGAGTACAGGTCTTGGAGTGATGGAAGATTGCAGCCAATCACCTTCTCTGTAGAGCGAATGATACGCTGCAGCCTGCCCTTGTCCCTGGCAGTGGCAGCAGTGTACCAGATGGTGATGGAGGAGGTGAGGATGGACTCAATGATGGCGGTGTAGAAGTGCACCATCATTGTCTTTGGCAGGCTGAACTTCTTCAGCTGCCGCAGGAAGTACATCCTCTGCTGGGCCTTCTTGGTGAGGGAGGTGATGTTCAGCTCCCACTTGAGGTCCTGGGAGATGATGGTGCCCAGGAAGCAGGAGTCCACAGTGGTGACTGGGGAGTCACACAGGATGATGGGGGAGGGTGGGGCTGGGCTCTTCCTGAAGTCCACGACCATCTCCACGGTCTCTGTGGGCGGCTGTGGCTCAGGAGATAGAGCGGGTTGACCGTTAATGAGAAGGTCGGCGGTTCAATCCCCGGTTCCTCTAGACTGCATGTCGAAGTATCCTTGGGCAAGATACTGAACCCCGAATTGCTCCTGGTGTTCCAGTGAGTTTGAGCTGTTTAGGCTGTGTGAATGGTGAATGCAGATGTAGTGTAAAAGCACTTTGTACACACAAATACGTCTGTGGTCCTTGGTTTTTTGGGGACAAGGATGATGGTGGAGGCTTTGAAGCAGGCTTGCGAACCTAAACATGAAACAGCTGTTTTTTGTTATGATAAAGATAGCAATTATAAATAATCTGGGTGAAAGAATGGATTAGCACATGCACCTGCAGAGATTGTCTGAGCTACAGAGAGAGCTGGGGGGGAGTAAAAAGTGTTTTGCTGTGAAAAAGCAGTTGCTTGCTCTCATCTGCTGGATGTGGATATCGAGTCGGCCGACTCCTCCAGATATTGGGCGATGTGTCAGTGATGCATCAGGGTAAGTAGTTCACTGCCAACTGGCGGTCGCCAATCAATCGCTGATTTACCCCTGATCACAGCCTGATGGTCGCCGAGCTCTCCGACCGGCAAATCGGGCAAAATGTGAACTAGGCTATAGCTGTCTGAGTTTGGCTGTAAACCAGGTTTTGTCATGTTATAATTCACCCTGGTGCGTGTTGGAATGCAGCTGTCCTCACAGAAGCTGATGTAGGACGTCACAGCCTCTGTAAACTCATCCAGATTGTTGGTAGCCTTCTTGAAAACATCCCAGTCAGTGCAGTCCAAACACGCCTGAAGATCCTCTACAGCTTCACTGGTCCATTTCTTTGATGTCCTCACTACAGGTTTACAGAGTTTTAATTTCTGCCTGCAGGAATCCGGTGGACCATGACGTGATCAGAGTGTCCCAGTGGAGCACGTGTGACGGCGTGATAGGCACTGCTAACTGTGGTGTAGCAGTGATCCAAAGTGTTCCCCTCTGTAGTTGGACACTTTATAAACTGTCTCTATTTGGGGAGTTCGTAGGGAGATTAAAATGGTTTACAGTGTATCAATAAATATTCCAGGTCATGAGAACAGTGCTGCTGAATCACTGTCATGTCGGTACACCACTTATATCAAGAGCCACTGTTGATATAAGTGGTAACCCATGTTTTGCCTGAGAGTTCTGTGTCGCGGTCCGCTCTGTAGAGTTGGAATCCAGCCAGCTGCAGCGCTGAGTCCGGTATCGGTTCACACAGCCACGTCTCTGTGAAGCACAGAACAGAAGATGAATAAAAGTTTTTCTCCAGCAGAAGCCGAAGTTCGTCCAGTTTGTTGCTTGTGCATATTTGTTGAAAAATTGATTTGAATGATTTATTTGAATTTGATTTACTGTTTGGCAAGTGTTACGCATGTTCTGACCGTAAAGAAAAGTTTAATACCCTACATTAACTGTCTGGTTTCTTCAACTTTCACTCAGGAACTAAAATCAGCCTTTAAACTTGAAAGAAATAATGATTTGACATTTATCATGATATCAAATGAAAGAATGGATTAGCACAGGCGGGCAGCGAGGGTTGTCTGTGCAAGAGAGAGAGCTGGAGGTGAGTAAAAAGTGTTTTGTAGTGAAAAAGTAGCTGCTTGCTCTCATCGGCTGGATGTGGATGTCTATTTGACCGACAGCTCCAGATATTTGGCATGCTAGAAATCTGTCAGCGATGTGTCGTTGAGATGTTCACACAGAACGGTCAAGTGCCAATTGGCGAGCGCCAATCGCTCGCTGATTTGCCCCAGATCACCCACCGAGCTCGGCTACTTGCACATTGGATTTAAAATTGTGTAGTGTGAACTTATTGCTGTGTCTCAATTTGGGTACTTCTTTGAGTATACAAACATGCAATACACTGCATACTCTATGTACTTAGTTGCTTAGTGCATTAATTCCTTATTAGGGCCCGAGCACGACCGTGTGAGGTCCCTATTGAATTTGCTCGGATTATTTTTTTTTTTTTTTTTTTTTTCTTTTTTCTGCAAAGTAGGCTCAACTGACATGGCCTAAACATTCTCGAAAACTCACCAAAATTTGCAAACGTGTCCGAACCGGTGAAAAATTTCGTATTCTACAAGTTTCGCACATGGGCGTTGCAAAATGACTCGCTAGCGCCACCTAGAAAATTGGAAAAAATTAGCCCCTCGTTCACGTTCAACCTACATGTACGAAATTTTCTGGGGACATGTATCATATCACGCACAAAAAAGCCTCAAGAACCCATAGCCTAAAGTCAACAGGAAGTCGGCCATTTTGAATTTTACGGCCATTTTTGGATGATTTACACACTTCGTACTTTAACGAACTCCTCCTAGGGATTTAGTCGGATCGACGTCAAATTTCTGCTGTGCCTTCTAAAGGCATTGACGATGAAAAGTTGTGCTATTTGCGCGTTTTCGTCAATGGGCGTGTCCGTGGCGTCGATGATTCGCTATGAAACAGGAAGTTGTTGTAACTTCAGTGTACATGCTCACATCTGGACCAAACTGTACATCTAGGATGATAGTCCCGCCCTGAACACATGTACATGCCGACATTCACCCACAGTCATAGCGCCACCTGCTGGCAATAGAAAGTGACCTTTAACGAAGCAGCCCCCGCCGCATGTTTCACCTACGTGCACGAATTTTCTGTGGTACGTGTATCTTGTCCAGACGCACAAAAAAGTCTCTTGGAGCCATAGCCTAAACCCAACAGGAAGTCGGCTATTTTGAATTTTACGTCAAATTTTGGATGATTTACACACTTCGTACTTTAACGAACTCCTCCTAGGGATTTAGTCCGACCGACCTCAAATTTCTGCTGTGCCTTCTAAAGGCATTGAAGATGAAAAGTTGTGCTATTTGCAAGTTTTCGTCAATGGGCGTGTCCGTGGCGTGGCGTCAAAGATCAACTCTTCGCCATGACACGGAAGTTGTCGTAGCTTCAGTGTACATGCTCACATCTGGACCAAACTGTACATGTAGGATGAGAGTCCCGCCCTGAACACATGTACATGCTGATATTCACCCACAGTCATAGCGCCACCTGCTGGCAACAGGAAGTGACATTTAACGAAGCAGCCCCCGCCGCACGTTTCACCTACGTGCACGAATTTTCTGTGGTACGTGTATCTTGTCCAGACGCACAAAAAAGTCTCTTGGAGCCATAGCCTAAACCCAACAGGAAGTCGGCCATTTTGAATTTTACGTCAAATTTTGGATGATTTACACACTTCGTACTTTAACGAACTCCTCCTAGGGATTAAGTCCGACCGACCTCAAATTTCTGCTGTGCCTTCTAAAGGCATTGAAGATGAAAAGTTGTGCTATTTGCAAGTTTTCGTCAATGGGCGTGTCCGTGGCGTGGCGTCAAAGATCAGCTCTTCACCATGACACGGAAGTTGTCGTAACTTCAGTGTACATGCTCACATCTGCACCAAACTGTACATGTAGGATGAGAGTCCCGCCCTGAACACATGTACATGCTGACATTCACCCACAGTCATAGCGCCACCTGCTGGCAAAAGGAAGTGACTTTTAACGAAGCAGCCCCCGCCGCACGTTTCACCTACGTGCACGAATTTTCTGTGGTACGTGTATCTTGTCCAGACGCACAAAAAAGCCTCTCGGAGCGATGCCCTAAAATCAACAGGAAGTCGGCCATTTTGAATTTTACGTCAAATTTTGGATGATTTACACACTTCGTACTTTAACGAACTCCTCCTAGGGATTTAGTCCGACCGACTTCAAATTTGTGCTGTGCCTTCTAAAGGCATTGAAGATGAAAAGTTGTGCTATTTGCGAGTTTTCATCAATGGGTGTGTCCGTGGCGTGGCGTCAAAGATCAAGTCTTCGCCATGACACAGGAAGTTGTTGTAACTTCAGTGTACATGCTAACATCTGAACCAAACTTTACGTGCTTGATAACTCTCCCACCCCGCTATGGAGGACCGATCCTGACACAGTCAGAAATAAATACAGAAATAAATAAATGCTCAATAAATAAATAAGCTTCCAATTAAATACACAAAAAAATAAAGTAAATAAATAAATGTTGGTATTAATTAAATTATGCAAGGAGACATAAATGTATATATTTAATTAGTGCCTTTACTTATTCACCTTTGTTATAATCACCTTATTTATTTATTCTCCCTTATAATCTTCAACTTTATTTATTACTAATTTTTTTAATATATTTATTTATGTGTGTGTTTTAATATTTTTGTCTGTTTTATTCTTCCTTTGTATTTTTCTACCTTATTTATTTTCACCCATGGTATTTATTTCTGCCTGTCCTTTTTAAATTTCTGTATGCATTTCTGCCTCATTATGCAAATGAGGAGGGGCTGTGTCTCAAGGGGTCATCTTCTCTGCTATTGGTGGACCAGTCAGACAGGAGAGCTCTAGGCCTACTCTGCCTGCAGACATCAACGATCTTGCCCCTCACACAGTCAGATGGCTTCCTTCAGTGCGCTGAGGTGTTTAACAACTCTGAAGACACTACCAGCCATGTCTTCCTTCTCTTTTCACGTAGACGCTCCGACAGACAGTGCTTTCAGTTTGCTGCATGCATGGACACAGAACTGCGGTACAGCACACAGTAACGATGAAATGTGTGCTGTTATCACATTCTTCCTCTGTATGTACACATAAACAACAAGGCAGGGAAATATAAAAGGAATTTATTTTATTGTTTGGGTACATTATTGTTCAGTGTACATGCTCACATCTGAAACAAACTTTGCGTGCTTGATAACTCTCTGACCCCCAGACATCTACACGTCAATACCGATTTATATTCATAGCGGCAAGTGCTATGTAGCTCCACATAGGGGACACAGGAAGTGACATATAGCACCTTCATGCGGCGACATAACCGCGTAGGAAATTCACAGCCGCACCGGCAGAGCTCCAGAATATGCAACTCGGCCGGCTCACACGCGGACGCGCTTACAAGTGCGAGGGCCCGCCCAACGCTGCTTGCAGCTTTATTTTTATTTTTTAAACCTGTCCTGCCCAGCAGCCTGGTATAGAGTATGATGACCTGGATACCATATTGTGCCATATTGTCTATCAGCTGTAGCATGCTAGTAGCCTTGCCATTTGAATGCAAATGAGAGACCAGAGATGGAGCATCCTCCCATGACATTTAGATCCTCTGTATGGGAGCATTAGTTTAGATTTCCCGCTTAGTTACAGCAAAAATGGGCAACATTTAGTGTCAAATTTGTTCAGCTGATGTCAGATAAGTCTGTGGATACACTTCAAACTGTCAGATAGACGATGCTGAATTGCATGTAGCATGTCTACTTCTCTTTTAATAAACTTAATTAATACAAAATTATGAATTTTAATATTCAGAGAATATTCATTCATAAATCTCTTGCGGGGCACCACCCGAGATTTCTTTTGCCCAGGGTCTCGGGATTCCCTGGGTATGGTTAATAATTATACAATTATTCACTAGTGATCAGTTAGTTAACAATCGCTCAGTTATCAGTCAGTCTCATCGAAGGGGTAAATTCTCATGACAGGGACTTGGAGTTAGGCAACACACACACAATTCACAATTACAGTGCGATTTATTATCTAACCAAGGTGACATAAAAATGCGGTCAAATATACATCAAAGAAATAAACAATGGCTAAACAATGAGAATGTGGGGTTCTATTGTGGGGAGGATTTGACTCATCCGGGCAGCTAATGAACACAAGCTATGAGTTTTAAGGACTAAAGATAATGGATTAACAGACTATTGGACATCACTGACCACAGAATGCAGGGTTTTGGTCTTACTGCTTATGTTTCTCCCAGCCGGATTGCTGGTCGGTGGCCTCACGCTGGCGGAGTTCCCTGTGTTCTCGGTTAGGACAGCTTAAAGCCGTCGGCCAGTCGCTTTCTCTGCCAGGGAATTGCTCCGGAGGACTGTCTTTTGACGGCTTATTGAAGAAACTCGCAGTGGGGGCCTTTTCAAATCCTGGCTCGGGTCAGAGGTTTGGTCGTCCTTTGTTACTGCTGGCGGGGATCAGTGTAAGTTAGCTCGACGAATAAAGCTTAAAAAAGAACTTGGTTGTTCTTGTATTAAAATGGTGTAACTTAACGGTCTGATAACTTTTAACAAACAAAATAAAAAGCAAGTAAAGTTGCTGGGAACAAGGGAAAAATCGAGGTTGCGGCGCTTCGCGTGTGGCTAGAAAACGAACAAAGGGCCTTCGCTGCGCCGGGTCGAACTTCTTAGGGCGTTGCCGGGAGGGGAAGCAAACTGTGCACATGCCAAAGCGCGGTTGAAGAGGCCAACAGAAGGGCAGAACAAGAGAGAACAAGAGAGAACAAGACAGCGTGGGTCGCTGCTTTGGGGTGTGGTTCCCAGAGGGCAGTCCTTTGTTCCCCTGAGGGAGGGCTTGTTTCCGGTTTCCTGGGAGACTGGCTTTTCTTTAACTTTTAATATGTCTAATCAAAATCTATTTGCACGTATTGTAATCAAATATCTTCCCACAATCAAACCTTAATTGTCAAACGGGTATACCGTTCTTAGTTTTACGCATTTGATAAAAAGGAAAACAATTGTCAGTAGATCAACCTTAAGGTTAGCCTTTCAGAATCACATCAGATGAGAGGAACTTAACTAGCTTTCTGGATATATTGGCTGTTACACGTTCTTAGAGAATATAGGCAAGATACACAAATGGCATTAGATAGGTAAATACAGAGTGACATTTATACATTAAACAGCATTTCAGACGATGGCCTGTAATACTTATTTTGTCCACTTGGGGGAGCTCGGGTTACGTGACGATAGCTTTGATTAACCCTAAAACAACCTTCTGCTCAGGAGCTGGGGAATTTAGTTATTTAACCTTAAATTCAAGCTGGAAAATTAATCGAGTATAGGATGACATTTCTTTATCATATCATTTCTAAAGGAAGTGTCAGAAAGTGTTGGGAAAAAAGCATTGGTTACAACATGAAAAGAATAAAGGACAGGGATCCTTGCTGAAAATTAAAACACTGCAAAATTAACTTATTTAGATTCTTTTCAACAACAAATAACATCAACATGGTAACATAACTACTCAAATGGAGTGGAGAGACCTAGTCAAGTAACTAAAAGATTATTTAATTAAACAAAGTAATGCTTTGAGTTTTGAGGAGACAGTACTCTAAGGAGTTCAGGGCTGTCCTCGGGTGTCCTGGAGTTCCTCACCAATTTACAACTGGGTGTGAAGAGGAGAATATCCTTTGATGTGAGGTAATTAAACAAAGAGGGAGGTCAGTTGCCATGGTTATGTGTGTGGGGGAAGTTTAGGGTTTCCTGCCCTCTTTCCAAAAGAGTTTTGATAGGCTAGGTTTGTAATCTCTGGTTAGTGTTTCTTTGTCATTTTAACAGTCAGGCACCGAGCTTTATCTGGCTGCGGCATCAGAGGTGGCAAGTTTTACGATCGAACTGCCCAGAAACAGCACTTACGGAAAGTAAGCCTTTCAACTCCTCCTTGGAGTCGCTTCAGCTGTCTGTTGAGGGTTGATATCTCAAACCCCCTCCTCCTTCTCTCAGAGAGAGAGAGAAGGAATTTTGAGTCTCCAAATTATTTGATATAAAATGCACAAATCCGCACTGTATGTTCACAACATGCGGAACAGGCTGGAAGGTGAGTCCTTCTCCCCACTGTGTTTGAGCAGCCTCTCATTGCAGATCCAGACCGTGACAAATGCCATACTCAGTTGTAGAGAATACAGAGAGACATTAAGCATATGGTCAAATGTAATTTCTGTTTGAACTCTAAAAGTTACTGACCTCAGCATCCCATTTTCTTTCCCTAGGTCTATCTGGCAGAGTGGAGGGGTCAGAAAGTGGCTCTGTCCAAACTATCATCTCTGGATTACCAGGAGGATTTTCTACATGGATTGTCCATGTTACAGGCCCTGCAGGGCCCCCAGGTGGTGCAGTTGGTGGGATTTTGCCTTGAAGCCCATACCCTGGTCACAGAGCACCACCCACTTGGCTCACTACTTAACTTGGATGGTATTCTAGCACAAGAGCTGCACCAGCAGCACAACACATGGCAGATCCGTCTGAGGCTGGCTACGGATTATGTCTCCATCCTCTATTACCTTCATAACAGCCCAGCTGGGCGACGGGTTATGTGTGATTCCAACAGCCTGGAGAAAACCCTCTCCCAGTTTCTGCTGACGAGTGACCTTCGCCTGGTAGTGAATGATCTGGATGCGCTGCCTGAGGTGGACCCATCCCGAGGCTTGTGGGTGAAATGTGGCCACCGGGAGCTCACTGGAGACTTTGTAGCTCCAGAGCAGTTGTGGCCATTCAGAAACAAAGGGGAGCCATTTTTAGATGATCTCATGCCAGCGTATGATGAGAGGACAGACATCTGGAAGATCCCAGATGTGACATGGTTCCTGATGGGAAGGGTACCTGGAGGGGATTTAGTCCACTTTCATCTTTTTCAGATCCATGAGGAGTGTAAGAAAGAAGACCCCAAGCTGCGCCCTTCGGCTCTGGATGTTTTAAAGGTGTACAAATCCGTCTACAGCAGCATGGTGCGGGACAATGCTGGCCTTAGAGACATGCTGTAGACTACAATAAAAATTCTAAAATACTGTTTTTATGGCTGACAGAGGAGAAACCTGCCTCTACAAAGGAGTGTTATTCTGAAGAGCAGTAAATTATTGACTGTGCTGATGGACAAAGGATCAGCTTTATTGCACAGCAGAATAATGAGAGATGCTGCTAAACTGAATTTGCTGTCAGGAGGGCGCTCCAGTGGCAACACTCCACAGACCACTTATTGAGAATTGCTGATTCGACCCCAAATTCACACACAATAATTAAGCATAGGCCATCAGTTAGGTGTCCTGACAGGCCACATCCCCAACAAACTGCAGCCTAAACTAACCAGATGATCAATTTCAGTAACAGTTAGGACACTTACGTACAGTAGCTTACCACAAGGCAAGTTTACATCATGATCTCAAAATCAAATCAGCACCGGCCTGACCTGTAATCAGGGATGGAAAGAGTAAAAGAATAAGTAAGAATAAGTAAAAGTACTGTTACATTAGAGAAATGCTTGTGTACCAAGTTGGATTTTATTATAGACAACAGAATAGTAGAAATATTGAGTTTAATGTTACTGTAGAGCTACCAGCTTTTAAGAATTGGGACATTCATAAAATTATTACAGTGAAATGTTATTTTAATGATTGTAACTGATATGAAATAATAGCCTGTATGAGACATGCTTTATATGTGAAGAAGAAAAATAACCCGTATGTGCATTCCCTAAAGAAAATGTATCTGAGAGCTAAAGGCTCCCAGCGGCTGCTCCTGCAGCCATCTGCAGTGTAAAATGTTACAAACTCATTCAGCAAGGGATTACTATTTCCAAAACAGTATTAATATTAGGCTACAGTTACTAATACAAGTGACACTGTGTTACTGCGCACCATTCTTGATGTGACAGGTCAGCGGCCAAGTTAGCCAAGAAGCTAAAGAAATAATGAGTTTGTTCGAGTGGGTAGTGAAAGTAATATAGTAACGTAACAAGTAACGTAACTAGTTACTTTTATCACCCAGTAATAAGTAAAGTAATATTATTACTTTTTTATACACAGTATAATACTTATTAATACTTATTACAATTTCTGAGTAACTTGCCCAACACTGGTAAGGTTGAGGGGTTGTGATGGTGCAGTGGATAATGATGTGATGGTGCAGGTGAAGGTGTGAGAGACCCAGGTTCGAATTCACTGTGAGACACCAATGTGTCCCTGAGCAAGACATTTAACCCCTACTTGCTCCAGAGGCGTGCAACCTCTGACGTATAGCAATTGTAAGTCGCTTTGGATAAAGGCGTCAGCTAAATGAATAAATGTCAATGGTAATTGTTAAGGAGATTTCCCTGGGCCGCTCCACTGTAGCTGGTGCAATACACAACCAAGATAAACTCGGAAACAGGCTGAAAAACACATAAAACATAAATAGCGATATTGAAAAAAATGTAAAATATCAAAAAGCTGAATACAAGTTACTAGTTGAAGGTCATGTGACCATTTCTAATGATAGTACGTCGAACTAGTAACACTTCAAAGTGGAGAAGGTATGATGAGGAATTGAACATTCTGTCCATTCATTTGAATGCGCAAAATTTCCTTCATTATTTTGGCAAGTATGAATTAGAAAAGTAATAGCAATATGTGACAGATAAATAATATCTAGAGAAAGAACTTTCTGAAGAAATTGTGGTGTGAATCATAGCTGAAATACAGATCAATATTGAAATGTAAAGGATTTGTTATTCAGTATTGAACATATAAAGAAATTAGGCATCATATGAGCTGTGCACCGTGTTGCTCATGCATTCCTGTGTAGGGGGCTTTCACCTAGGCATTTGAGATCCAACTTCTCTATGAGTTCAGCACATGAACAAAACACACTCACTTGATTGCGAGTAATATATCTAATTGATTGTTACCATTGTTTCTGGACCGAGCCTGTCGCAGGTAGAAAACATTCAGTTCATGAATCCATGAGTTTTAACCATGAGTTTTAACTAAGAGAGAGGCAAAGAGGAGGATGGGCACCTGATTGTTCATTGCATCCAGTTTCAGCTGTGCTGATTCAGCTGATTGTGTTGCCTAAAAAGAAGGGCTTGTGGGATTATAACAGCTGGTTTGCTTCAGAATTCTCCTTTAGAAGTAAAACAAAAGTCCCTCTTGCTCTTTAGGAGCTCATCTTGGAAAACAAGAAAAACACTTTTTCTTATCAAACTTTTACACAGACCCTGCACCTCATCGACCCTTCCTACATCCCTTTACTACCCTACCATTGAAACACACACACACCCATCTGGATCATTGTATGAATGTAGAATATGCAGCCTACAGCAATGATATTCGGTGTCTATGCTCTGACTTAATCGCCCCATAACTATAAGATGAAGATCATTCTTTCCCAAATAATATTTTGTGCTGAACAGTCTCAAAATGTCTGCTGTGAAAAAGGGCTCTTGCATAGTCATCATATTAGGAAATTTATTCCAAAGCATTTGCTCAAACAGCCCTATAATGAAAAACAAAACTGCAAAAGGCATAATGGATAGAATCCCGTGGTGGTAGCTAAACAGAGTCACCTTATTAAGGAACAAGTGTGCAGTGGCAGCTTGTGTTGCCACTTCTAACCGGAGAATTAAAATGAAAATGAATTTCATGTACTTGTTAATCTTTAAAAAATCTTAAGCATTCCTTTCAGAATAAACATCTTTAGTGATCATTTAAATACACAGAAATGGAAAATATTACACAAATGTATCTGTAGGGGATACGAGTCTTGTGTTTTCATAATCATTCAGTGCCACGTTTGTTCCTGTTAACAAATGTTGGTCATATGATGCTGGGTGATGTTAATATTTTTACATCAGAACTTATCAAACTATTTACATTATTCTACATAGACTTCAAATAGGCTCAGAATAGCTTAAGACTGATTGCAATTTTAGGCCATTCAGAATCAAACAAAAAGGAAAAATACAATTGTCAAAAAAAGCCTTCAACAGTTTTCTGCAATATCTGATTGTGTTTATTACAGGTGAATAATGTGAACTGTTCCTCTTACAGTTGTCCTTTCAAAAAGCCAAAGTCCAGCTTAAGCTTGCATTTTATTAGCTATGTTGGCCCTTAAAACAGTTAGGTCCTACTGTACACAGCACTCGTTTATTTGGTGATGAGGATGTTTACTGAAGCAGTACTATGAGACAGGATGAAGATGTAATGATGTCATTATGGAATTGACTGTCATACTCAGGGCATGAATCCTAATGGTGGCGTGAAATCACAAATAGCTCCTGGACCTTAGCAAAACGCAAGTGTACCCATTGTTGCTGGGTCTGCTTGTTTTCACTGTTCCTCACCTGCATTGGAGCACGACAGTACTGCTGGTTGCAACAACAAACAATGTGTATGGAGCAGGACAACTAATACTTTATGTAGAAAAGAAAAGCGGTGGAGAATGCTTGTTGGACAATCATGCACCCCCAGCACCTTGTTAGTATATGAAGAGAGGGGGGGCATACAGAAGGAACTGGAATCAGCAGTTATAAACCAAAAGGTGGACCAGACGGTAGAGGGAAACATTGAAAAGATTAAACAAAATTACATGCGCGCTGGACACTATTTGGGGCAATCTACTGGAAGTGCCATGGATTCTTCATCGGCAATCAACATCAATGACAATATTAGTGCCTCTTTTTCCATTGTGCCTTATTGCTTTGCTTTTATCATTTAAGTGTATACGCAAAATTTCCCACTTTGTTAAATACAGTGGATATACAAGAAAGAGCATAGTACCAAAACCCCAGGTTACAGGTTAAGTGCTGCCTGTCCCACAGTAAGAATTAAGTGGGTCCTGCATTTTTCTGTCATATGTGAAACTTCCCAGTTTGTAAAATGCAGTGGAAACAAAAGGAAGAACTGTGTACCAAAGATTTCCAGGGATCTAAAAAGTGTAGGTTTTGTAAAGCTCCAGGTTATCGGTTCCTGCTGTGCAAAAGGGCTTCAAGTGTCTCTTGAACAATTCTGTCTGATCTAATCATTTATTGGATTCCTATGTCTGCTGCTGCTACTGGTGGAGGCGTTCACCATGCTGAATGCTGATGAAAGTTCTTTCACACAGAATTTTACATGTTCTTATAACACTTCATTCATGCATAACAAAAGGTTATTCAGTACATCAACATAACAAGTAAACAAAGAAAGGTTTTTGTGTGTATGATTTCATCACAAATAAAAAAATCAGGATATAGGGGATGAGCATTTCTCACAAATGTCTGACATTCATATATGATAGCATTAACCAAACCATTTCAGCGTATTGGTGATAATGACCACTAAGCAGTATCAGTATGACTGATATAGTATTCATAAATTATGATATGCATTCATTACAAAATCACTGTTGTCTACATATTATTCTGTATGATGAAGTGAAATAATAAATAGAATATTGTAGTAATAGTCTTTCAAAATGAACTTGTACATTTGGTTAACTTATCCAACACTCACTGAGTGCTTTTGATGTCATCATAGTATGCAAACATCAAAAACACTGAACAGCTTGACACTAGTACTTCCTCAGTCAAATTAGCCAATGTTCCAATACTCTTGTTATAAAAATAGAGATTTGACTGGTGTTGAATGATGTAAAGCAACTTTTTGCATTGGTTGCACTGGTCTGCCTACATTTTTCATTTAGGTGCACTGCCACAAATTTAGTTGCACCCAAATTTTTCACAGCACTTAAGCGTCATAACAGCATATTCTAACCTTCTGTAATGACATACACACAGGGACACCTGCAGGTAAAAAGTTGTCTTTAGGCTTTTTAAAACACTGCACAAACAAAAATGTCCAAAACCTTATTATTATAAAACAAAACTTAAAAGGTGCTTGACAAATTGAAAATTCCAAAAACTCAAATGACTCAAAAGTGTGTGCTGCTCTCAGACACTTAAAAAATCCTCTCCAGATGGCCCAAGTCCCAAAAATACTACACATTAAGGCTACCAAGCTGACCAAGAACTGTGATTGGTCGGCTCGGTAGCTATAGGTACCGGATCTGTGCCACCTGCCCGATCTGTACGATATGTACATTTTACGTTATAGAAAACATGTAGATGTGTTTTTTTTTACAAAGCTATACAGAACTCAGTATAACAAATGATGATCTATGAGTCTAGAGGTAGGGTCTACTGCTGCAATTGTTATGCTACTGTATGTTTACTCACCTTCTAAAATAAATGGAAATCCTGCCCTGCAGTTAACACATGGTACCTGCCACCTATTTCCAGGAAAAATGCCTAAAATAACATACCCAAAATAAATCAGTAATAACTGCTCAACCATTAGGCCTAGATGCAGATATATCTGGTCTCCTTTGAAAGGTCAGAAGCTAAGGAATAGAAATCAACTGTAAATTAAACTATTTATTTTTCTATTTCTAGAGTAAATGGAGAGGAAAATATGATATTTTCATCCTCACCTGGTATAAAATCTATATTTTAATAGCAATATCAACATCAAAACCATCATCCAACTCATTATAATGCAACTGAATATCTTCTAATACACCTAGAATACACATGTAACTGTAAATTTGATGAAAAGAAACTAATATACAACAGTTATTACACAATTTTTCAAAAATATACCAGGCGAATATCCATGTTTTGGCCATATTCACTATTTAAATGTTCACTTTTATTGTGAGTTTTCTTCAAAACACTTTCTCTCCATACAACCACGTTCCAAATAACAAAGCTTCCAAAACATTGAAATATTGATAAAGACAGTGAATAGTGATCAATATTCCTGTGACCAAAAGTACTCCCGTGCTTTACAGGAGCACAAGTTGAGAACGATCGGTAAAGTGGATATCTGTGTAGCTCCTACGGGTTGGCCAGTAGAGGCCGATAAAGACCGCCTCCCCCCAAACAACTCTTCTCTCCTTCAATTTGATGAGAAAAATGAAACGTCACCAAGATGGCGACCAGCGACGAAGGGCTCTATTGACACAAACAGCCGCTGTTTTTGTACTGAATACAGCCAAAACAGCGAAAGTAAGCGAAAATCGATCCCCGTCAGGTACCACTTGGTTAATGGTGCACATGAAGTCAACATTCTGTCACCACAGCCCCAAACAATCACATCACTTTACTCATCAGTACTGCTATCAGTGAATGCATCAAATCTGCTATCAGTCTATCGTAATGTCTACTGGAAATTATGTAATGAGATTGTACATATTTAAATATGTAGTAATATATTTATTTATTTTAAATGAAAAAAAATCATATTTTCAGATGTTTTCCTATTTAGTTCATCTGTAATATTTCTACCACAAAACAGGCCAACTTTTATATATTTGTGAAAGAGCCGTGTTCTTGTAGACTGTTGAAACAGTTCCTTTCATTATTTCCATTTCCTTCTACGGACCTTTTGAAATTACAACACGTGTGGTACAGATCGGGCAGCTGGTGCGCATGCGACCAAGCACTGATTGGGCATGCTTTGAAGCTATAAATAGTATATTACTGGATGAAGCCACCCTGCGCATTTGAATGGAAAGCAGTGAAGCCAGTTTTGGACCAATAAAATACTACTACAGGGCTACTTCCTGTTGGTACCAGTGTCTACTGTGCATGATCACACAGCATGAGTGTGCTGGCAATTCAACTTTTCAGATAAACAGCTCTGGCAAACACTTGATTCAAGTCTTCTGCAGAAGGAACTCACTGGGACACACACACATCAGAGTATCATCTGAGTGTCTCATGCAGCTTTTATCCTAATCTCACCAGGGGAACATGATGTCTTTGAATGTTTCCTTGGGGATACTCAATCTACAGGTGCTGGTCATATTATTAGAATATCATCAAAAAGTTTATTTATTTCAGTAATTCCATTCAAAAAGTGAAACTTGGATATTATATTCATTCATTACACACAGACTGATATATTTCAAATGTTTATTTCATTTAATTGTGATGATTAAAACTGACAACTAATGAAAATCCCAAATTCAGTATCTCCGAAAATTAGAATATTACTGAAGACCAATACAAAAAAAGGATTTTTAGAAATGTTGGCCAACTGAAAAGTATGAACATGAAAAGTATGAGCATGTACAGCCCTCAATACTTAGTTGGGGCTCGTTTTGCCTGAATTACTGCAGTAATGCGGCGTGGCATGGAGTCGATCAGTCTGTGGCACTGCTCAGGTGTTATGAGAGCCCAGATTGCTCTGATAGTGGCCTTCAGCTCTTCTGCATTGTTGGGTCTGGCGTATCGCATCTTCCTCTTCACAATACCCCATAGATTTTCTATAGGGTTAAGGTCAGGCCAGTTTGCTGGCCAATTAAGAACAGGGATACCATGGTCCTTAAACCAGGTACTGGTAGCTTTGGCACTGTGTGCAGGTGCCAAGTCCTGTTGGAAAATGAAATCTGCATCTCCATAAAGTTGGTCAGCAGCAGGAAGCATGAAGTGCTCTAACCTCAGAAAACACAGTGGACCAACAGCAGCAGATGACATGGCACCCCAAACCATCACGGACTGTGGAAACTTTACACTGGACTTCAAGCAACGTGGATTCTGTGCCGATCAGTCTGTGTGGAATGAATGTATTATATAAGTTTCACTTTTTGAATGGAATTACTGAAATAAATCAACTTTTTGATGATATTCTAATTATATGACCAGCACCTGTAGATCTATCGTGAGAGAATCATGTCCGGGTACATGTTGTAAAACACTTAAAAGTCCTGACCCCCTGGACACATCATAAAGCATCACACACATTTACTTCCCACTGACCCCGTCCCAGAGAGACCGGAGGCCCCAGTGAGTAACATTAATTACATGACTGTTTGGAGATCATACTCATTGAATTCCCATTACAAGAGCAACAGCAGAAACCCCGTAATTCTGGTAGCTGCAAAGCTGTACGATGATGCGCCAACAAAAAGTCTCTTGGCTCTGTGTGTTTGTCTGACTTGGATCATCATCTGCCAAACACCAACGCAGCGTCACTGATGGCCAAATAGTTTTTTTTTTAGATTCACAGAGTTTAATCTAAGCAATACGGTTACATCTCTTTTAAGACAGGATGTCACAGGGTTTTGATGTCATTTTTTAACCAACATGGACAGTGGTGGTAAACGGTGGTGATAAATTGGTGGTCTAATTAGAGAGCAACACAGACTTCCAAGAGTGAGTTTTGAGGAACACACACACACAAGGCCTTTCTCATTTCTCAGTTTGTTCCATAGGTTTGTGCCTCCTCGCTCCTCCGCTCACTTCTTGTGTGGGAGGGACTAAGACGCGAGGAGAAAGGAGGTGAGGAAACAGGCATTTAACGAAATGAGATGTCCTTGCCTCGGAGCCGCCATTTAAAGCGACATCAATTAAATACGACCTGTTGCACAGCTATCTTATCGGAATACTCGTGTACGTAAAAATCATTTACCCGCTCCTCAAAAACTCATTATTTTGTCAGATTTAGAGACCTCACCCGCATTGTGATTTCCTTATTGGGTTGTGTTGTATGCATCTTATCTTTAACGACTTACTGTGATGATTAGAGGCTGCTGTCAGTCATTTAAACATTTCCATGCGTGCAGTAAAGTCACAGCAAATATCATGGGACACACAAAAAACATTAGATCCTGACGATCCATTAATTTATGTTGTTGTGGCTTGTGCGTATTTGCGTCTCTCTAAATTCGGTAACACTTCACCCTGTTTCACCCAGCCGCTATTCACTGTTGATTTTTATGATCCTGCTGCCCATCCACACATCACATTTAACAATAACAACATCAGCTCAATATGTGCTCAACACCAGAGCCCCCCAGGGCTGTGTGCTCAGCCCCCTCCTGTTCACACTGCTACTGCTCAATGTCAGTAAAACTAAGGAGCTGATCATTGATTTTAGGAAGAAGGAGATAAAGACATACACTCCTGTCTACATCAGTGGAGCTGAGGTGGAGCAGGTCAACAGTTTCAGGTTCCTGGGAATCAGCATCACAGAGAACCTGTCATGGTCGTCTCACATCTCCACGCTGGTGAAGAAAGCTCAGAAACCACTGTATATCTTGAGGAAGCTTAAGAAGGCTAAATTCCCACGCCAAGTTCTTGTCAGCTTTTACAGAGGAGCAATAGAAAGCAGACTGACTGGAAACATCACAAACTGGCATGGGATGTGCACGGCCCAGGACCGGAGGGCTCTGCTCAGAAGATCATTGGTACCTTCCGAGCATCAATGATATCGGTGAGGTGAGGTGTCTGCAGAGCCCAAAGGATACTAAAGGACAGTACCCACCCAGCCACAGCCTGTTCACCCTGCTGCCTTCTGGGAAGAGATATAGAAGTTTCTGCTGCTGCACCACCAGACTGCAGAGCAGCGTTTTACCCCAAGCTGTCAGCCTCTGAAACTCTAATTCATCCTCAGCACTGCTCCACTGATGATAGTTTATTTCTGTTGGCCATTTTTATAATTGATTCTGTATTAATCTATATTGTCTGCTTTGTAGCAGAAGGGAGTTACAAAACTTAATTTCACTCTATAACCTGTTATATTGTGAGAATAAAATGTAGCTACCTATCAGTGATTTCAAAGTGAAATGACATCAGGAATGCAGTTTTAACAGCGCTTTATGAGGCGCTACACAAATGATGAAGGGAAGCGCATTTGATCATTTGAAATAACTAACACAATTTATGAACACAAAAGAACACTGTAGAGTCCTGCTCCGGCCATGGGTTGGTTGTATAGTCCAGCTGCATGTCACGCGTCTTTTAAACGTCGACGAAAACACTTCCGCAAAGGATACACCAGTGTATCCTCGCTTATAGCTCCTCCAGCAAGCCTTCTCATTACTCAATCTTCGAGGTGCATTTAGGGAATTGAGATGTCCTATATGGCGCGCTGAGACAGATTTCTGGGTCACAGGCGGAGGCCAAATTAGGGAAATGAGAGACCCACAGACAGAGCTGCGGCTGACAGTAATTGTCCTGCGAAATGTTAGTTGCACCAGTGCGCACTCTGTAGCCCTGTTGGAAAGGCTTTGGTATGCTTGAAACAAAGTACTGGAAGCTCTGGAACCACTTTTCTGACTATGGGATTGGGTGGGTCTGCATAATGCTCACTTTCACGCAGTGATGGGCCAGGTGTGCAAAGCTACGGAAAGGTGAACATCACAAGTGCTTAACCTCCATCTGAATGAGTGTGTTATCGCCATTTGCACGATTTGTCACCTTGAGGCTTAAGACATGCATAAGACAGAGTTGGAGAGAGATTGGGAGGGAGTTAGAAGAAAGCTATGAGAGCAGGCTTTTCAGCCCACCTTTGACTGAGGCTATGTAGAACAGGCAGAAAGACCTTACCTCCCAGACATGTGGAATGACCAATGAAGACTTAGTCGCAGTTTACAAATTGTAGCTGTAAAAATATCAGCTGTACCTTAATAGCACCTCCTATATGCCAATTTTGTTCAGAAAGACGTCATTATCAGTGTATAAGAGTAAGAAAACAAGTGTGTTGTGGGTATAAAGTGTATCTGTTCGTGGAACATCCAATGCTGGCGCTGCAGACTGGAGGTCAGATCTGGCCTCATGTGCCATCTGTGCCATCATTCGCTGTCTAGCTCCTTGGGGTCTGAGGATGGACTTTCTCTGGCTGGCAGGAGGTCGTAGTGACAGGGGATGTGGCTGTTTTTTGGTAGATCGTACGGATCTTGACAAAACTGTCCATGGCCATTGCCGTCTCCATTTGGCTGGATGGTGCTTACAGTAGGCTCTGAAATCAAAGACAGGTGAGTTAGCAGTTACAGGGAGAAAAAAGTCCAACATTTTGGAAAATGAGAGAAGATCACTGATTAATTTCATCTCTCTGTCCAGTACAGAGATAGGTCAAGGATATGTTTAGTCTGACTAACTACAATGATTGCAAGGGAGAAACTGCTAGCCAAGCTCTGTCACAAATCAACCCTCCTGATGTTTCTGCATTTATTGATTTTTGTGGCCACTTGGTAGCAGAAGACATAATTAACATAACTGCTAAAATTGCTATGGCACCTGTAAATGCTCTGTATTTGTATAGGTCATTTCGACCACTCAAAGCACTTTTACACCACATTCACACACTGAGCCTAAGTGCTCAAACAGGAACTACACACACATTCGTACCCCAGTGGAACAGCCACCAAGGAACATTCGGGTTCTTCGGGGTATCTTGCCCAAGGACACTTCGTCATACAGCCTGGAGGAGCTGGGGATTGAACCCCGATCTTCCAATAAACAGGCAACCCACTCTATCTCCTGAGCCACAGCCGCCTCCTTCAAACTTCACTACAAATACCGGCTTTGTTGCAGAAACACGCATTACCTATAACAGAAATACAGTGATTGGAAAAGGAAGGGTTTTTAGATAAAAGAGAAGCAGACCACGATGCACCCAGCCCAATCAACCGACCAGGCACCATGGCGGGTGCTGTGATCACTCAGAGGAGAGGAAAGAGAGCCAGGAAAGGAGCCATCTTGGCTCAGCTTGGACTTAAGGCTGCTCCTAAAGGTCCCATCTGGACAAAATGAGAGTCAGGTTGTACAGGCAATGGTAATCAGAGGCTGTTGTGCCTACATCTTTACAGAGACCTGTCCCATAAGTGCAATATTCACTCTCCTTTTAGCTCTGTGTCTGGTCTCTACCAACTCATGAGAAAAATATCTGGTTCTTTAGCTGCCAAATGCTCCACTATATTCACCAGTTAGTAACTCATTTTGTCAGTCTGCTGTAGGGCTGTGTGATATGACGACATATATGGTTTGATGATAGAAAAACATCTATTGTTTACAATTATGCTGCCATTGTTTATTTTGTTGTGTCGCAAATTCCACACTTTACTGTAATATTCCCGCGAGGGGACGGTGCTTTGCATCGCAGTGAAGTAAGTTTTAAGTTGGTGATACAACTGACATATAATATCCAACTTAATAAACTTAAACTTTGATGTTCCAACAAAAAGGAAAATTTTTGTTTAATTTGGCAATATAGTCTTAAAAATTATAGGAAGGCCCTCCATAATGCCAGAGCAGCGTACTACTCGTCATTAATAGAGGAAAATAGGAACAACTCCGGGTTTCTTTTCAGCACTGTAGCCAGGCTGACAGAGAGTCACAGCTCTATTGAGCCAAGTATTCCCATAGCTCTGAGTAGTTACGACTTCATGAGCCTCTTTAATGATAAAATTCTAACTATTAGAAACAAAATTCAACTGGCACCAACTTTTCTCTAAACTCAGGAACCCTAGAAACAGCTGTAGAACCAGATATATGTTTAGACTGTTTTGCTTCCCTCAATCTTCCCTCAATACCAACTAACTTCAATAATTTCTTCATCTAAACCATCAACCTGCCTCTTAGACCCCATCCCGACTAGGTTGCTTAAAGAAGTTTTACCCTTAGTCAGCACTTCTATACTAGATATGATCAGTCTATCTTTATCAACAGGCTATGTACCACAGTACTTTAAAGTAGCTGTAATTAAACCTCTTCTGAAAAAGGGTTAAACTTTCATTGTTATGCAGATGATACTCAGTTATATCTATCGATCAAACCAGATGAAACTCATCAGTTAGCTTAACTTCAAATGTGCCTTCAGGATGTTAAAACCTGGATGACCTGTAATTTTCTAATGTTAAACTCGTCGTTTAAGTCTGACATTAAGCAAATTTCAAGGACCGCCTTTTTTCACCTACGTAATATTGCGAAAATCAGGAACATCCTGTCTAAAAATGATGCAGAAAAACTAGTCCATGCATTTGTTACTTCTAGGCTGGATTACTCCAATTCCTTATTATCAGGCTGCTCGAAAAAGTCCATTAGGACTCTTCAGCTGATCCAGAATGCTGCAGCACGTGTTCTGACAGGAACCAGGAAAAGAGATCATATTTCTCCCATCTTAGCTTCTCTGCATTGGCTTCCAGTAAAATCCAGAATAGAATTTAAAATCATTCTTCTTACCTACAAAGCTCTTAATGGTCAGGCACCATCTTATCTTAAAGAGCTCATAGTACCTTACTACCCCACCAGAGGACTGCGCTCCCAGAATGCAGGGTTACTTGTGGTTCCTAGAGTCTCCAGAAGTAGAATGGGAGCCAGAGCGTTCCTCCAGACCTCTACTGTGGAACCACCATCTCCACATTTAAGAGTAGGCTTAAGACTTTCCTCTTTGATAAAGCTTATAGTTAGGGCTGGCTCAGGTGAGTCCTGAACCATCCCTTAGTTATGCTGCTATACGCCTAGACTGCCGGGGGATTTCCCATGATGCACTGAGCTCCTCTCTCCTCCACTTTCTCTCCCTCTGTGTGCAACCTCATCCCATTATTGCATGTTACTAACACAACTTCTCCCCTTTCCGGTAGTCTTGTGTTTTCTCGTCCCTCGCAGGTGTTTCTGGCTCTGGAGCTGTGGAGTCTGGATCTGTGGATGCGAGTCACCTGCTGCCCCCGTGTTCCTGCTGGACACCCTCTGCTCCAACTATTGTTGCTAGTCTTATTGTTATTATTGTTATTATAATCATTAACATTACGATGGTTACCATTAACACTATTATAAATATCTGTACCATTTTTCATTTAGTCTATAGCAACATCACCTTTACTGTCTGTACCTCTGTGTGTATATTATGTAGGCTGCCTCCCTCCCCTCTCTCTCCTTCAATCCCTCTCTTTTTCTCTGTTCCTCTCTTGCCCTCTTCCTCTCTGTTCCTCTCTCTCTCTCTCTCTCTCTCTCTCCCCCTCTCTCTCCTTCACCCCCAGCCGGTCGAGGCAGATGGCCGCCCACCCTGAGCCATGGTTCTGCTCGAGGTTTCTGCCTCTTAAAAGGAAGTTTTTCCTTGCCTCTGTCGCCTAGTGCTTGCTCTTGGTGGGAAGTGTTGTTTGGCGCTATATAAATAAAACTGAATTAAATTGAATTGAATATTAACTTCACCGCGGTACATTCTTCCACACATATGCGTGGCAGGGAAGAAATTAGCTTTCAAAATAAACAAACAGAGGAGAGTAAAGTTTACTCAGAACTGGGGAATACTTAAAGGAGGACTCAGACTATGCTAGCAAAAACGAGGTGCTCAAATCTAAGAGAGAAATCAACACTTTCCCAGCAATTCCAGCCATGATTTGTGTGTCAGGTAACATTTAATGACTTTCCAGACATCCAGTTTACTTTGTAGTTCAACAAGACATGCTGTTGTTGTGATGTTAGCTATCGCAGCAGGAGAGTTGTATCGCTGTCTGGAGCTGCTGGGCTGCTCTGGGGCCATCTTGTTCTCTGATGTTAGCTTTCCAGCAGCAAGTAGCGTCAGTTTGCTAATCCACAATTTAGCTCACATTAGTTACATCACTTGCTGTGTCGTATTTGTCATGGTATTGGATTCCTCCAGAATCACATACATCACCTTTATGATGGAGAGAAATATGAGTTACTGTTGGAAATTCCAACAGTATAATATTTAATTGAAATGGGATATGAAATGACCTATATCGGAATATGAGATTTTAGTCATATCGCACAGCCCTAGTCTGCTGTATGGTGCTGGGTAGGGAGTGTACAGTGGGGTTTTTATGTGAGTAAATCAATGTCAATCTCATTGTAAATGCACAGACTATGAGTCACAAATATATGTCCAATTTGTAAACACAAAACACAATCTATATATAGATCCAAAACCCACAAACTCTTGATCCACACATAAAACTAAAACAAATAAATACAAAATCCACCAACAAATCTTCAGATCCACAAATCAGAGACAGAATTTGAATAAATGCAAAATGATTTGTCTGTGCATGACGGACATATTCTCTTTGTAGATTGTTTTGCATTTGTTTTCAGAATTTTGACACTGTTTCGCTGTTTTACAAAGTACCATTTTCTACAAATGCACTCTTCACAATTTGCAAACAAACACAGTCCAACTTATTTTTTCAAACCACAGTTTCAAGACATGCACACAAAGTCTGTGAAATGCTCAGCATTCAAATGTCAAATCTGTGTTTGCAGATCACAATGTATTTGCGGGTCGCTCTTTATATTTGTCTACAGATCATTTTGACACTGGTTTACTTTGGAGAATGTGAATATGATCCACAAGTGTAGTCAGCCAGTCAGGGGTGTTGCTTATATGTGATGTCATGTCCCTTCAATTAGTCTTTTATAATTAGAGGTGATACGTGAGGCTTTGTAATACACTTAAATATTTATGTAATATGCTATATCATTTGCTCTGTCAATACTCGTACGTAATACTAGTACGTCAGATCTGTACTTATGTACAACACTTATTTAAATACTTGACCAGTTTTTTTTGGTTCTCAGGGTTTTTGGTTCACTGGGTTTTTTTTTTGGTTCTCTGCAGAATCCTCTCAACACAAATATAGTACAGACACCTTTCAGCTCTTATTTTTAAAGGCTTAATGACGGGATGTGATGTCACATAGAAGCAATACCCCTGATTGGCTGACTACACTTGTGAATCGTAGTCACACACTCAGTGTTAAAGTGATAATTTTCTGGGGGATTGACTTTATGACAAAAAGAACTAGAAAAGGTAAAAACAAGAAATTGTGGTTTAAGGAGCAGTTTTGACCAAAACTGAATGACACAGACGCGGCACAAAGCAGACTTCATAAAGGGATTGTCAGGTTTAAGCTGTGTCGTATCTCTACTTGAATATATTGGTAACTAACTTGCTAGCGAACACGATTCAGTGTGTAAATAAGACACCTCTGGAGCTATGGGTTTCTGTTTGACTGCTAGTTTGGAGCTAGCATGTTTCTCCCAGCTCCTGATCCAGCTAGGCCAGTGCTGACATATTTACTGGTCCCCCATTTCATGTGGCAATGAAACTAGCTCACTATAGATTTCTTTTCCTAATATTTCATTTTTCATAATATGACTATAATAGAAATTTGTCAAGTGTCACAGATTGTGCAATTACATTTACAGTGTAGTGCCCACTGCTAATTTCAGTGCACTATATATTTAATACCACTGAAGCATACTTCTCTATAAAGCTGTCACAATGACAAATAACCAATCTAAGCGTAAGATCCTCACCAACTTCATAGACATTCCGGTTGTTGGTCGAGCCACTGTTGCTGATCTCAGCGTATGGTGAATCTCGTCTGGCAGGTGACTTCATTTCCACGTAGCCACACTCTGTGTTTTTGGCTGTCAGCAGGGGAGGGTCTTTTATTGTGGCATATGGGTTTTCAGAGCTGTTGAGGGAACAGGAGCTGGAATGATAAAGCGTGCCCTTCACCAGATCTGGATGACATGGACAGAGAAGACTAGTGAATAACAGCATTAAAATTGAGCAGTTTAGCGTATATTCACATAATTCCAGGACCTACCTCGTAAAGATTTCCCAGTGTGTCTCCTGTCATCGCCGTAGGCTCCTGAATTTTGAAAATGAGAAGGGTCAGTGAATGGTGGAATAAATACATATGACTATTATAGCAAGAATAACCTGGAATTTAATAAAGAATTTTCATCATATCACCATAAATTAAGAACTGGGGTTACAATATAGCAACAATGTTTTTATCCACACCAATTAAAATACAAATTGAACCAATTTGCCAAGTTGATATTGCTTGTATGTAAGATACCAGTATTTCCTCCCATGATTTTTTTGTGCATGCAGTGGAGAGAAATCTATAAGCATTCTGAAATGCTGTCACTCTGAGTTAGAAACTCTCCAACTTTGGCAGTGTACCCAGGATAAAAGAGATGATGATAAACTTGTTAATATTCCAGTGTAACTTCTGTCTAAATTTGTTTCTCTCTGTCTCTCTACAATAAATTAACAAATCTCTGTTTGTTTCCTATTGTACTTATCTAAACACTACAGAATCCCTGGAAAGCAAGTAAGAAAAAATATTCTGGTGATCCATTTTCTAAGTCTGATCTAAATTGTTTTCTCTCCTGTGTTTATGACTTAAGAACAGGTGAAAATATGTTTTGCCAGGATAATCTGTGTTAGTTTCTTAAATGCACTGAACTCCTCTCTACTCCTCTCCATCTGTATTTTTATCCCCTAATGAATGTTACTAACTCACCAAACTCACCATTTTGAATTTTATGGTAATTTTTGCTGATTTACATAATTTATAACTCCTCCTAGGGAATTAGTCCGATCAACTTCAAATTTTCGCTGTGCAGTCTAAACCCATTGATGATTAAACGTTGTACAAACAATAATTACCAGTCGACCAGCATGCCCATGGTGTGGTGTTGAAATAAGATGATTCACCATGAAACAGGAAGTTGTTGTAACTTCACTGTACATGCTCACATCTGCACCAAATTTGACATGTAAGATGATAAGAGTCCACCTGCCAACATTCACTCAAAGTCATAGCGCCACCTGCTGGCAACAGGAAATGTCACGTTTTACGCTATAATCCTAGCAGGTTGGCCATATCAGCTTCAAAACTGTTGCAGAAAGCGGTGTATCCGTGCTTGATAACAGTCCTGCCCCGAGGGATGTAAGCTCTGTGTCACACTCATCAGGCAATTTAAATACAATTTTCACGATTTGTTCTATACAAGATGTACTGGGACATAACGTATAGTTACTGGGTGTTCTCTGGTGCCATATAGGGGACACAGGAAGTGAGGTTGAAGTTGTTCAGAACTGCGTCAGCAGAGTTGCGTCATCTAGCGCAGTACACGTGCGAGGGCCCGCCCATTTTGTATTGCAACTCAGTTCTGTTTTACTCTCTACAATGTGCAGTTTCTGTGTTTGCAGCATGTTTTTCCTGCCATGTGTCTCGTACTTTCTCGATTTGCTTGTGGTGTTATGTGGTGTGGTGTTGTGGTGTCATTAAATCCTAAATGCACATATGTCATAGGGGTGAGATCATTTTTGTTATTATTTTCCATTTGCATGTGTTTTCTTAATTGCAGCTCTCTCTCAGTGTCTGTAGTATCCACAAGTTTGAGTTTTGAATCTGGTGCGTCACTTTTACTTTAGTTTTACACAGAACTTGTACTGCTCTGTGCACCAATATTTAAGTTAAGTTTAAATCCCATCTGCACTGGGATGAACTACAGTATAATTTATTCAATGTCTCACCCAGTTCATTGAAGCAGTCCCCTTGTTTCCAGTCTGCAGGCAGTGTGCCATTGTGATCAGCTAGAGGCTCCCTTTTTCTCTGATCCACATTCTTCAAATTCACAAACAGTTGGTTGCCCTTGGCCTGCAAAGGGAAAAATATCAGTTATTCATTAATAGACATTTTATACTGCCCTTCTATAGAGCCTCAAAAATTCCACTTTCATACCTTTCCATATGGACCATTGTTAACATGTGAGGGGCTGATGCATTGGGCCAGAGTATGGTAGCTGGGGTTGGAGAAGTAGTTGCTCGGGTGGGCCTCGCAGGTTGGTGGGTGAGCATCTGAAAAATGACAAAACTCTTACCAGGATGCACTACATGTGTCAGTTCATCAGTGCTTTCAAAGTATGAGACCCCCAAACCCCATGGTTTCAGTTCCAGTGGGGCTCCAGTGCACGGTGGTACATATAAAATGCATTTCTTTCTTTGTATTTATATTCTGTTTTGCAATATTTAGGACACAAGAGGTAGGGCTTATCTAAATAACAACAGGAAATACCAAACAAAACCCTAAAAACCAGAACCCCTACAGTAACTGTGTTTAAAGTCTTCCATTTACTTTGTGTCCACCGTCTTTATTACTGAATATAAGACTATTCGGTGTGGTCGTATTTATGTTCTTTCATTCACTATGATAGAGAGCACAGGTCACAGGGAGATGTTTGATGTGTGTTACTGAAAGAGAGAAGATAACAGCCCTTTTTCCACTTCTCTTCACTATAAACAATCTATCAAAACCAGAAGCTTGTAGGAAAACACTCAAACAGACCATGTTGACCAGTTCTTGTGGTTCCCACAGGGTATCTCTTGTAGCATGACTACTTTGATCTAATACAATTTATGAGAATGAATACAAAATTATGAATTTTAATATTCAGAATATTAATTCATAAAGCTCTTGTTTCGCGGGGCAAATTCACCCAGAGTCTCCGGACCTCTTTAGCGTTTTAATAATTATACAATTATTCACTAGTGATCAGTTAGTTAATAATCGCTCAATTATCTTAAATCAGTCAGTCAGACTCATATCGAAGGGGGTAAATTCTCGTGGCAGGGCTTTAGGTTAGTTAGGCAACATACACACAATTCCTTTGATTACAGTGAAATTTATTAACTAATTAAGGTGAATATAAAAATACAGTCAAATATACATCAAAGAAATAAACAATGGCTAAACAATGAGAATGTGGGGTTCTAATGTGAGGAGGATTTGACTCATACGGCGGAAGAGAACTAATGAAAGTAGTCAGATGATACTAACTCGATTAAATTTGTCTAGGAGTTTAAGGACTAAAGATAATGGATTAACAGACTATTGGACATCACTGACAACAGTGGGTTGCTGGTAACGTTAGGCGGTTTCACGCTGGCGGAGTTCCGTGTGTTCTCGGTTAGGACAGCTTAAAGCCGTCGGCCAGTCGCTTTCTCTGCCAGGGAATTGCTGGAGGACCGTCTTTTGTCGGCTTATTGAAGAAACTGCAGTGGGGGCCTTTCCAACCCTGGCTCGGGTCAGAGGTTTGGTCGTCCTTTGTTACTGCTGGCGGGACCACATGACAGGGTCCAACCTCAGTGGGAGCAGTGTAATTTAGCTCGTAGAATAAAGCTTAAAAAGAACTTGGTCGTTCTTGAATTAAACTAGTGTAACTTAACGGTCTGATAACTTTTAACAAAACAAAAATAAAATAAAAAGCAAGTAAAGTTGCTGGGAACGAGGGAAAGCTGACGTTGCGGCGCTTCACGTGTGTGGCTGGAAAACGAACAAAAGCCTTCGCTGCGTGGGCAAACTTCTTAGGGCGTTGCCGGGAGGGGAAGCACGCTGGGCGTGTGCCGAAGTGCAGTTGAAGAGAACAGAAACAAGCGAGCGAGACAGCGTGTGTCGCTGCTTTTGTCTGTTGGGGTGTGGTTCCCAGAGGGCAGTCCTTTGTTCACCTGAGGGAGGGCTTGTTTCCGGTTTCCCAAGAGACCGTCTTTCTTTCGACATATTAAAAGTTAATCAAAAATCTATTTGCGCGTATTGTAATCAAATATCTTCCCACAATCAAACCTTAATTGTCAAACGGTTGCACCGTTCTTAGTTTTAGGCACTTGAAAAAAGGAAAACAATTGTCAGTAGTTACACCTTAAAAGGTTAGCATTTCATAGGAATCACATCAGATGAGAGGAACTTAACTAGCTTTCTGGATATATTGGCTGTTACACGTTCTTAGAGTAAATAGGCAAGATACACGAATGGCATTAGATTATGGACAGGTAAATACAGAGTGACATTTATACATTAAACAGCATTTCAGACGATGGCCTGTAATACTTATTTTGTCCACTTCGGGGAGCTCGGGTTACGTGACGATAGCTTTGATTAACCCTAAAACAACCTTCTGCTCAGGAGCTGGGGAATTTAGTTATTTAACCTTAAATTCAAGCTGGAAAATGAATCGAGTATAGGATGACATTTCTTTATCATATCATTTCTAAAGGAAGTGTCAGAAAGTGTTGGGAAAAAAGCATTGGTTACAACATGAAAAGAATAAAGGACAGGGATCCTTGCTGAAAATTAAAACACTGCAAAATTAACTTATTTAGATTCTTTTCAACAACAAATAACATCAACATGGTAACATAACTACTCAAATGGAGTGGAGAGACCTAGTCAAGTATGCATGTTAATATGCAATAATCTTCATGACAGAGTAGAGGCTACTCGCAATAATTGATACCCCCCCAGCACTCGTTACTCACACTGCCATTTAGAGAGAGCAGGAGAGAGAGAGGGAGAGAAAGAGAGAGAGAGAGAGCATTGCTCACAGCTTCAGGGCTTGTCTGTGACTTCTGAATTGCACAATTGTAATCAGTACATTTAAATATAAATGTTGTCTGTTATTGTCTAAGTATTAACACAAACGGTTAACAGTCGCCCCATAGTAGTGAGAAAATATCATGACCTCTGACAGTAACACTGACACCTGACGCTCTGTGTCTTGCTGTCTCTGTCCCCCTCGCTGTGAGACACTACTGATTTACTGTCTCCAGGATGCTTCATTCCCTCTGAAGCGGATGTGATCTGCACTTTATCAGAGCTGCTGAAGCGAACATTTGTGAGGAATTGTGGTGATATTGCTGTCTGATCACAAGTGTTTTCAGTCTCTGTGTCTGTCAGACGGTCTAAAGGGGGTAGCCTCTGGGGTGGACTGGTAATCTGGGATAAGCTACCGGCCGACGAACCTTTAGGACCGGTTGGGCTCACAGCAGGCGCTTGAAGGAGTAAAGGAGAGCTGTGGCCACTGAAAAACAGCTTGCACCAAGAAATGTTAATTAACAAATAAAATGCTGTGAGAAAGGTTTATTTGCACTATAAGAAAACCTGCTATGTAACATAAATATCCATCCATCCAACTGCTTATCCTGCGTACAGGGTCGTAGGGGGCTGGACCCAATCCCAGCTGACATCGGGTGAAAGGCGGGGTACACCCTGGACAGGCGCAATATAAATATTTTGAATATAAATATATTTTTAAAAAGAAACTTAAGGTAAAAAAAGAATAAGCTACTGCATTACATTCTATTATATTTGTCTGAATTGTCACCTGCCAGCTAACTTTTGTCCTTCCCTTTATAAAAAATAAAGACATTTCCACAATAAATTGGCGCAGAAAATGTCTCCAGAATGCAGGAAATTCAGTGTTTAATTCTCAAAATCTTCTGGTGGGGGGAGTCTGGGGGCGGCGGACCCCAGACTCCTTGATTGAACATTTCATTAATATTTCTTTTTAAACTAAATTCAAATCAGTTAAGCTAATTTATCATTAAGGTGAAAAGGTGCCACATGCACAAAGACTTTAGGCTACTTCAGGCATGCCTGCATGTATGTAGACTTAGCTGGGATTAAATTGTATAAGAAAAGTTGATCTACAGCAGAAACATATCTGACATCAATACAGAATGCCCGACAGCCTTACTGCAATATATTACACTATTTTCGTATTTTGAATTGGTGCAAAAAAATTCAGTGTTTAAAGCCCAAATTTTTCAGGGGGAGGACCCCCAGACCCCACCTTGTTAATATTATCAGTGTTAATTATTATCAGAAAATGAGACAGACGTTAGAGTTAGAGGTGTTCATGAGAGAACGCAAGCTGCTACTGAGAATATTTCTCTCCAACGTGTGCTCACTGTGCAACAAACAGGACCAACTTCAGCTTCTGCTGGGGAAAAACTTTTATTCATCTTCTGTTCTGTGCTTCACGGAGAAGTGGCTGTGTGAACCGATACCGGACTCAGCGCTGCAGCTGGCTGGATTCCAACTCTACAGAGCGGACCGCGACACAGAACTCTCAGGCAAAACATGGGTTACCACTTATATCAACAGTGGCTCTTGATATAAGTGGTGTACCGACATGACAGTGATTCAGCAGCACTGTTCTCATGACCTGGAATATTTATTGATACACTGTAAACCATTTTAATCTCCCTGCGAGTTTGGTTCCTACTTTCTGCTTGTTGTTTACATTCCACCACAGGCCAACACAACGCACAGTGCATGCTTGCCGAGCACATACGGACATTCCTGGACTGCTTAGTTATTGTTCTCGGTGAGTTTAACAAAGGAAACCTCTGCCAAGAACTCCCCAAATAGAGACAGTTTATAAAGTGTCCAACTACAGAGGGAAACACTTAATAGGGAAATACTTAATAATGCAGTCACAATAAAAATAGATGCAAGGCGGCAAGGATAAAAGCACCACCTTCATTGCGGCAACAGTAAAGTCAGCTGGGTCAGAATAAAGTCAGCTGGCACGGCAGCCACAATAAAATCAGCTTGCATGGTGGCCTACACATTTTTAAACAACTTAACCTACTTTTGGATGATGGCATTACTTGAAAATGAAGTCCATCCTCCTGTCCTTCTGGATGAACTTGTTGATAGCTGGGTCATGCAATTGATCCTTTGCTTTTAATTTCATCAGCAATTTCTTCTCGATGGAAATTAAGGCCAAGTCTGACAGTCGGGCCTGCTGCTCCTTCATTGTGACCTCGGAATGGCAACTCCTGCTTGCCCATGAACACCACGCAGTTAATGAGACGTTTCAAAATGAACCTAACCTTCTCATTATGGACAATGACATCCATTGGCGTTGTTGGTCATCAAGCTGGAGCTCTATCCTGGTGCCCCCAAATGTTTTAAGGCAAATCGTAGCTTTCAGATGACTTGAAGCATTCTGATGTCGATGGGCTGACTTGGATAAACTTCCTAAATCAGAAATTCCATCTTTGGCCCAGGACCCACTTTCGGTGCCAAACAGCAAACAATCCCAGCAGTAAAGCTTTAGCTCCTTGGTTGATCGAGACCTGGTTCCAAAATTTCTCAAAATCCGAAAATCAATAAGGTCGATACTGCTATCGAGACTTGCGGGCTATGATGTAACGTTATGTCTCGAGCATCAAAGGTGAATGTGATTTAATTTGAAACGCAATGGATAAGAATATCGTCAGGCTGCAGTCTCTGCCTGCTCTCTGTCAGCTCCTACACACACACACACACACACACACACAGCGGCAGCAGAGCGAGAGGCTGTGCCGTCGCGGTGGAATACGGTGAAGGTTAACTAACGTTAGTTGATTACAGCTACGCTCGTTACTGTAAGTTCATGCAATAAAACCTTTACAAGTAAAAAGACAATACTTTATCAATACACCTGTCTGTAAGGTAACATTAAACATGTAGAAATGGTTAATTAAATCATCTCTGTCCTCATCCTGTATGTTTTATACAAGCATAGCTAACGCTAGCTTGGCTTTAGCCAAATGTTAAAAACAAGCTAAATAGAAAGGTGTCTGTCTGGACCACAGAATGGTCTGTAGTCTTAAAAACTCAGCTGCTGGCTGAGACAAACCAGCCGCTCCTCCTTCTACCTGGTAACGTTACCTGCAGCCAGCTAGAGAGGAGGAGGGACTGATACAGACTGATGTTGTTCTTTCTAAACGTAAATGCTTGCTTACCGTACTTGTATAGCGCCTTTCTAGTCTTTTCAACCACTCAAAGCGCTTTTACACTACATCTGCATTCACCAGTCACACACATTCATACACTGAGCCTAAGTGCTCAAACGGAAACTAACATTCACACTCACTCATACACTGGCGGAATAGCCGGGGTTCAGTATCTTGCCCAAGGACACTTCGACATGCAACCAGGGGGAGCCAGGATTGAACCGCCGACCTTCCGATTAACGGCCAACCCGCTCTACCTCCTGAGCCACTCACTACTTGTGATGTCAGATAAAGTTATTGAGTTACTTTGCTGTTGTAAACATTAATGTTGCTGCTCTAGAAACAACATTTAGCTGGATTTAAAATATTAAATTAAAAACAACCAGGCAGTTAATATGCACACTTCAATATATGTTTATTTATCGCAAGTGATATGTCATCTCAATATATTTTCGTTCAATACGTTATCGCACATTGAATATTGGATCTGGTCTTACCAAATAACCATCACTAAATAGTCGTAAAGTATCGATAGTGGTATCGATAAAGAATCGGATCGTTAAGCAGTCTCAATAAGGGTATCAGTATCAATAAAAAATTAACGATCCGCATCTCTATCCATGGGTATCTTGCATAATTACTGGAGTTGAAATGTCTTTCAAAAGCTTTGTTTTGCACCAAATTAAGCTCTGGTGTAGGCCTTCCTTTGCTAATTAACTCCAACTTCTCTTTCAAAGTTAACCTTGAAAAGGGCGCAAGTAATAAATTTGAAATGATGTCTCCCTTACTAGCGGGAACGTTACTCGCGGCTTCCATCGTGAACTGAACGAACAAGTTAGCTGCTGTTAGTTTATTCGCCTATCACCGTGTCCCCCACAGCGGGCGGTCATAAAGTTAGCGAAAACAAAGCCCACCCATTTAGAGGGAAGATATGATTGGTCAATTTTATTGTCAATTAAAATGAGTCTCTCATTGAATTACTGTTTCTCGGCCCTCTGTAAATTCATAGCTGGACAGCATTTTCTACCAAACAACAACAGAGTCAGCAATATTCTGATGACTGGTAGAGGGTGACAAAAGGCCGTCTTTATTTTAGTCCTTCCCATTCCAACACAATCTGAATGACCAGGATTTATTTTAGAAACATTTTATTTAATAAAAAAAATGATATATTAAATCAAATTAGAACAGATGACTTTCTAAATATTATTTTTTAGAATAGCTTAGGCCCTGTCTAAGGGCCTAGAGGGCCCTGATGGTTCCCCTCTGCCGTTTAGAGAGAAATCCTAGTGTGGGTGAGAGGGATCTCGTATCCTCCACTTTTTAACATTTTTTTTGGGGGGGGACTATTTGCTCAGAACTAAAACACTGCAATTGATATTTTGTTGATTTTATTATTCTCATTGAAACCTCCTTTACATACTTTTCTTTCTTCTTATTTTGGAAACTTTAAAGTGGCATAGAGAGTAAAGAGAAAGAGAAAAATAAATTACTTCATGTAATGTAGCCCTATCTGATTTGTATAACATTTAAGTTGTATTGTCTATTAGCATTAAGGTGACATACTTTGTGTGCATCATTATTTGTAATTCTAACAATTACAAATTTTGCTTTGTAATTGCTGACTTTATTCTTTGTTATTTAGTACAGTAAAATTAGATTGTTTGTTACACTGACATGTAAGCCTGGTCCATGGTCAGACAAGAGCTGTGTTGCTCAGCTGGTTAGCAGGACAGACAGACAGACAGAGATTCACTGCAGCTGCACATTAACATTACAGTTACCTGCTGACCTCAGACTTTGAGAGAAGAGAACACATGTTTACCTGACGTTCACACAGTTCACCCTCATTGAGTTTTTTCTATTCTCGTTCCCAAAATGATAGTCCCTCTACATCCTTCGCTCAACCTTTGATTTCACCTTTGACATGAGAGTGAGGCGGGGCCATCCAGCTCTGAGCGAGAGTGACCTGATTTCTATCACTGCGTATGCCAGTGTCGCATCAGCTGGGCGAAGTTAAAAGTTGCAACAAGTAAAAACACTCAAATAAGGTACAGATACAGAAAAAAAAAACTACTTATGTACAGTAAAAAGTATTTGTACTTTGTTACTTTCCACCACTGGATTTGGTAATTTTTGCTAATGCTGTAGACCCATGAAACTGGTGTTATGCAGTGCGAGTGGCTGTCAAACATGTACCACTTAGAAAGCAAATGTGTGCAAAACTTGTGCATAGATGCCATACATTGGAATGAATAGCCAACACAGTCTAAGTCCCTGAATACAGACCATCAAAACTTGCAGTCTGCTGTCACTGAAAACAAGGACTGTTCTTGTGACCAAGGTTACAATGTGACAGCAGATGGGTTCAACGAGAAACGAGAAACAACTGACAGCCCAATGTAAGAAAATACCTGCCTAACATGGGACAGTACATTTCACTAAACAGTTTTAGGCAGGTCAACCTGTAATGTACCTGCGATGGTGTAATCAGCAGTGACCCTCATAGCAGGAGTGTAGGTCACAGCTGGCATGGTGGGCTCTTTGCCTTTCTGCTTCTTCCTGTAGATGATTAAGAGGAGGAGGAGAAAGAGCACCAGCAGCACCAGGACAATGATTCCTGCTATGGCTCCCATCTGGTAGGTGTCCACCTGCATGGCTGTACTGGTCAAACTGTTGAGGCTGCCCACCACCACACCAGCTGAAGACAGGAGGAGTTGGAAATGTAGAACCAGAGTTAGAGGTCTAAATAAATTTTTTTTTAAATAAAACTTGACAAAGTAGCTCTTCTTTTAAAAGGAGATGACTGTCAATGATTAGACAACTAAGGCAATCTGATTAATGTTGACCATTCTCAAAAACAGATCTGAGAACCAGCTATGGACAATAGGAATTTTGGAACTTTTTCTTTATTAACAAGGCACAAAGCAACATCAATTGATTCCACTTTATTGAGGTGTGTCTTTACCTTGGTCACAGCGAGATCCCTTCCAGCCTGGGTTGCAGTAACATGTACCAGTCATGTGATCACACGTGGAGTTATTCATACAGTCGCATACCTGACGGCAGCCATAACCGAATGAACCAGGAGGACACTCTGTAAATAAGAATAAAGTCTCATTTAAGTAAACTTTAGGAGAAATGTCCCAGACTCTAACTACAGAACAACAAATGGAAACTTAACTGGACAACAAAGTAAATAAAACAATAAAAATAATAATAATGAGTTAAGTAGAAGTGTACTAAGAATGCGTCTAGGTATAAATATGGCAGTTTAAAAGAAATGAGTTGCCAGTTGAGATGTAGGCACATAAAGTGTAAGCACTAAGAACAGTTGAATAATACTCATCGTAAACAGGAAGGAATGTAGAAAGTTCGGTTTAATTCAATTTAAGGTACACTGCTCAAAAAAATAAAAGGGAACACTTAAACAACACAATGTAACTCCAAGTCAATCACACTCCTGTTAAATCAAACTGTCCACTTAGGAAGCAACACTGATTGACAATCAGTTTCACATGCTGTTGTGCAAATGCAACAGACAACAGGTGGAAATTATCCCAATAAAGGAGTGGTTCTGCAGGTGGTGACCACAGACCACTTCTTAGTTCCTATGCTTCCTGGCTGATGTTTTGGTCACTTTTGAATGCTGGAGGTGCTTTTACTCTAGTGGTAGCATGAGACGGAGTCTACAACCCACACAAGTGGCTCAGGTAGTGCAGCTCATCCAGGATGGCACATCAATGCGAGCTGTGGCAAGAAGGTTTGCTGTGTCTGTCAGCGTAGTGTCCAGAGCATGGAGGCGCTACCAGGAGACAGGCCAGTACATCAGGAGACGTGGAGGAGGCAGTAGGAGGGCAACAACCCAGCAGCAGGACCACTGCCTCCGCCTTTGTGCAAGGAGGAGCAGGAGGAGCACTGCCAGAGCCCTGCAAAATGACCTCCAGCAGGCCACAAATGTGCATGTGTCTGCTCAAACGGTCATAAACAGACTCCATGAGGGTGGTATGAGGGCCCGACGTGCACAGGTGGGGGTTGTGCTTACGGCCCAACACCGTGCAGGACGTTTGGCATTTGCCAGAGAACACCAAGATTGGCAAATTCGCCACTGGCGCCCTGTGCTCTTCACAGATGAAAGCAGGTTCACACTGAGCACATGTGACAGTCGTGACAGAGTCTGGAGACGCCGTGGAGAACGTTCTGCTGCCTGCAACATCCTCCAGCATGACCGGTTTGGCGGTGGGTCAGTAATGGTGTGGGGGTGGCATTTCTTTGGGGGGCCTCACAGCCCTCCATGTGCTCGCCAGAGGTAGCCTGACTGCCATTGGGTCCCGAGATGAGATCCTCAGACCCCTTGTGAGACCATATGCTGGTGCGGTTGGCCCTGGGTTCCTCCTAATGCAAGACAATGCTAGACCTCATGTGGCTGGAGTGTGTCAGCAGTTCCTGCAAGAGGAAGGCATTGATGCTATGGACTGGCCCGCACGGTCCCCAGACCTGAATCCAACTGAGCACATCTGGGACATCATGTCTCGCTCCATCCACCAATGCCACGTTGCCCACAGCCTGTCCAGGAGTTGGCGGATGCTTTAGTCCAGGTCTGGGAGGAGATCCCTCTGGAGACCATCCGCCACCTCATCAGGAGCATGCCCAGGCGTTGTAGGGAGGTCATACAGGCACGTGGAGGCCACACACACTACTGAGCCTCATTTTGACTTGTTTTAAGGACATTACATCAAAGTTGGATCGGCCTGTAGTGTGATTTTCCACTTTGATTTTGAGTGTGACTCCAAATCCAGACCTCCATGGGTTGATAAATTTGTTTTCCATTGATAGTTTTTGTGTGATTTTGTTGTCAGCACATAGTTAACAAGGAGTATTTAATGAGATTATTTCAATTATTCAGATCTAGGATGTGTTATTTTAGTGTTCCCTTTATTTTTTTTAGCAGTGTATATCGCGCCAATTCACAACAACAGTTATCTCATAGCACTTACACTTATGTGCATCATTATCACAGGTCTAGACTGTACTCTGTGATATTATTTATAGAGACCCAACAATTCCCACAAAGAGCAGCACTTGGCTGAGGCCAGGAAAAACTTAGATAGCAAGAGAGGGCTGGCGGGGTAGGAAGGAGAAGCCAACACAATATCCACAAAGAAATACAGACAGGATAGGTAGTGGTAGTGAATACAGATAAATACATTAATGTTAATAATAAAAGCAGATAGGATGTAAGACAGTGTAACGTACTTTGTTCACAGCGTCGTCCCATGAAGCCGGTGCGGCAGGTGCACTGTCCAGAGATGTGGTCACAGTCAGCTCCATTCCTACACTGGCAGGTCTGAGAACAGTCCTTCCCAAAGAAACCTAATGGACACCCTGCAATCGAGTCATCATACATCACATTGTATACTTTCAAATGGCTATTTTTCTGAAATAAACAACAATTGCTGTATGACATATGTTTTATGATGTAGATATAGATATAATTTAACCCTCCTATTGTGTTCCAGACAAAATTGGGTGGCAGTAGCTAGGTCAGTAAGGATCAGGCTGCAAACCGGAGGGTTGCCGGTTTGAGTCCAGCTCGGACCAGAGTTGTGGAGTGTGGACTGGTAGTTGGAGAGTTAGCAGTTGACTTTAATAAAGCATGTCGTCTTCTTCAAAAGCTTCACATCAATAAAAACTTCACAACCTCAGCTAAAATGTTATGGAAGTCAATAAACCAGAATAATTGATAAAAAAATTGGACTTGTGTAATAAACAAACATTGGGAATGTTTTCTCATAAAATCTCACAAAACAAAAATATACAAAACATATTGATCCAGAATATTTCTAAATGTAGAAAGATGAACAAAATATTAACACTCCACAAGTTATTGGAACTATGTACCTTTTTTTAGTTTGAGATATTTTTATGAGCAGTGTCCAAATGCATTTAATTTCTGTATGTGCTGTATGTTCACTGGATGTAGTCATAATGGCAGTTCCTACTACCACAGTATGTTATAGCTAGGCCTTCTATGTTAACTGTAAACTAAATTATATACTAAACTATGCTAAACTACTGAATCTTGTGTTTCTTTCTCTCTCTTTGTGACATTCCTATTAAACCTGCTTAGCTGCTCATCTGGCGCCACTCATCTGGCCGTCAGGCGTTGTCAAGTGATTTAGTGTAATGACGTCACCACAAGCGTACAACGTGATGACCCGAATGACAGAGGCCTTAGCTTTGATAAGATATGCTACTATTGTCATTTTTCTAATGGGCTTCATCAGGATGATCAAATAAAATATTATCGATTAGACATGTTTTTGATATTTATTTTGGTTAAATTGGTATGTTAATCGAGTAATAGGCAACTTTTCTTTATAATACACAAAATTACTCATTAGATTAATCGACTTGAAAAATAATCGTTTTGTATAGCCCTAATTCTGACCCAGACTTAACCTCCTCATTCCTGAGCAACCCCATTCCCACCTTATCATGTCATGGGAACCACACTTTCCAGGCAAAAAATACAATGTTAGTTATGGTAACATTTCTCTTTCTCAAGCTTATGTGCCCAGCTCTGTGCCCCAAGAGAAATCAAAACTAGCCTCACCTGCCACATACCAAAATGATCACACATTACCACTCATGCTCCTGAACACAGAGACATACATATGTTCATGTTAATACAGTCTATTTTTGGTTGAATCTAAAATTTTGAAATAAATGGTACTTTAGAGATAGGCTGTCATGAATGTTCTTTCAGAATAAAATCATGTCAGTCAGTCTTGACCGGAAACAGATGGCAGCCACCAAATGGGACTATGGTACAAAACAGTATCCTGGCTAAACAGATACCAGTCTGTGATAATTTGTCAATATGTTTTCCTCTGGTCTTCACTAGTCAATATAAAAAATAAATTGTACTTCTTTTACTTAAAAAACAAAAACAAGTGTAGAACTTTTATTAAACAAGGTATAAAATTGTATAAAAGTTGTCACACATCATCTGTTGATAATTTGTGCTTTAAATTTGCTCCATGACCAGTTAAAACAGACAGGTTAATTCAATTCTCACAATTAGCCAGGGACACCAAAATAAGAAACAAGTAACAAACACAATAAAAGGCTTAAACTTGTTTGTAACATCAAATAGCTGTCCCCGGAGTTGATTCAAACATGTTTTTACATCCAATGGGGAGTGCCCCATTTTCACTTAGGGGTGTGCTCACTTTTGTTGCCTGCAGTTTACACATTAATGGCTGTGTGATGTGATTTTGAGGGGACAGCAAATTTCCACTGTTATACAAGCTGTACACTCACTACTTGAAATTGTAGCAAAGTGTAATTTCTTCAGTGTTGCCACATGAAGATATAATCAAATACTTACAAAAATGTGAAGGAGTGTACTCACTTGTGAGATACTGTATCTCTAAACTCAGGAACCTTGGAAACATATGTAAAACTGAACCATCAATCAATCAATCTAAACCAGTGGTCCTCAACCTTTTTTGGGCCAGCGCCCCCCTATCCATTATCCAGGTCCCTTACCGCCCCCCATCAAAAAAGATGGGTTATTTGCCCTGAATATATTTTGATTTTTTTATTGTTACATTTGTTATTAAAAACATGGAAAAGGTAACAAAAAAAGCCATGCGTTTTTAAGTATTTAATTATATTTAACTAATAAGTGAATGTTCCTCCCAGAAACTGTGTATGAAACAAGATACTGTTTTCTTGGATGAGGCTCTTAGTAAGTGGCGGGTATGGGGGTCCTCCCCCAGAAGATTTTGAGCATTAAACACATTTCCTGCATTCTGGTGAAAATTTCTCCTCCAATTTCTGCCTTTTCTGCACCAATTTGTGGTGGAAATGTCTAAAGATTCAGGTGGCAGGTCACAATTCAAAATATATAATTATAATAGAATATAATCTAGTGAGGCTCTCAGGCATTCTTATTGCTTTTAAATATTTTTCTCCTGTAGATCAACTTATTTAATATCATCCCTGCTGAGTCAACACACAAAGTCTTACCCCCTCTTTTGTGGGGAAGTAACCTATCTAAATGTGTTTGTGTTTCCCACAGAATGACAGTGTAACTGTGCTGCAGCTGTACAGCATGCTAGCCTTGAAAACCCAGCTGTATTCTAACATTAACTTAGCTCTCCTTATTAGCTAGGCCCCTTATGGAGGACTGATCCTGACAAATTCAGAAATAAATACAGAAATATATAAATGCTCAATAAATAAAAAGCATCTGATTGACTGCGTTGTGCACCTGTGTTCACGAGGGAGAGAGAGCGATAGATCGAGGGATGGGTGAGAGAGAGAGAGGGACGAGTGAGAGGATGTGCTCCGCGAATAGCGCTGCCTGCAGCTCGGCAGTCAAATAAGATTTTAAATAGGCCTGGTAAAAAAAAAATCAAATATCAATATGTGGCGGTCAGTGTTGATACTGTGGCTGGCCGCCACAAATAAATGAACGTATGGGAAACACTGTAACTTATCTGCTCATGTTCAAAACTTTCTGCACATTCAGAATCTCTGCCACATATCTGAGTTCTCTGACATGTAAAGAAAAAAAGACTTTATAGGAGAGTAACGTCATTAGCCTATTTAAAGAGAATTCATAATATTTTACAACATGCCCAATACTGCATTGTTACTGATTCGCTCGAAGTAGCCTATCCCCTCGCCGTCTGACAGACAAAACTGTGAGAGGAGGTGCTCTAATGCCGGGGGAACGAAACTAACCGACAACACCTGTGATCAGACAGAAAGCTCACGAATAATTCCACACACCTTAACTTCAGCACCTCTGATAAAGTGCGGCTTACAATCCCCAACAGAGCAAGACAGGCTAAAAATACACAGTATCGTCCAGTCACAGATGCTGACCACAGTTTTTTAGCAAGTGGTTTAAAGTTTAAACTCGTACTGTTGTGAATCTTAACCAACAAACGCCCCCCAAAAGCAGCTCAGTGCCCCCCCTTTCTAAAATATTGCTTCCAGCACCCCCCATCGTCCTCGGAACGCCCCCTGGGGGGCAGTATTGCCCCCGTTGAGAAACACTAATCTAAACCATCAACCAGCTGCCAAACAGCTGTGTGACTTTTTATTTGAGGATTTTCAGTCAGGATTTAGAGCTCATCATAGCACAGAGACAGCACTGGTGAAAATTACTAATGACCTCCTCATTTCATCAGACAAAGGACTTGTCTCTGTACTGGTTTTATTAGATCTTAGTGCTGCATTTGATACCATTGACCATCAGATCCTATTGCAGAGACAGGAACATTTAAATGGTATTAAAGGAACCGCTCTAAGCTGGTTTAATTCCTGTTAACAATGAATCCTCCCTGCACGCCAAAGTTAGTCAAGGAGTTTCACAAGGATTTTAAAAAGGAGTTTTTCCTTGCCTCTGTCGCCTAGTGCTGCTCTTGGTGTAAATAATAGCACAAAGAATCTGAACTGCTCTATATGAAAAGTGCTATGAGATAACTGTTGTTGTGAATTGGTCCTATATATATATATAACATTGAATTCAATGATGTCAATGAGCCCACAACCCTGTACACAGGACAAGCTGTTGGATGGATGGATGGCAATGAGATGTCCCCACATGGATAGAGGAGCAAACGTGTGTGTGTTTGTATCTGTGACTGACGTTGTGTGCAGTAGAGGCCGGTCCATCCTGGGGTGCACTTGCATTCTCCATCATAGGCGCTGCAGTAGGCTCCATTGTGACAGTTACATGTGTGGATGCAATTGGGTCCCCACTGACCAGGTGGACATGCTGCAACACAGTGACAGCAAAATGTTAGTGCTCAACTTTTAGTCATACCAGTTCACAGCTAAATAGCCTTTCTAAATAACTTATATTTTTACTTCAGGATACACAGTTTCATGAAGAAACATCTACTTTACAGGACAGTGACCTGTAAACACACCAGAACCACCATTTTTTTAAATCTATAAGTTTATTGAGTAAACGCACGCTGGGAGCAGTCGCTGCCGATCCATCCTGGATAACACTGACAGGAGCCATCAATGGGGTTACATGTGCCGTTGTTGGTGCAGCTGCAACTCCAGGCACAGTTCTTCCCAAAGCGACCACTGGGACACACTGCACACAAGATGCATGTTAATCATACATGTTCCTCAACCACATTTTAGGTAGAAGAATTTTCACTTCTACAGTATCTTGGTTGCTGATTAGGTTCATTGTAGACATTTTTATCACACACAAATGGTCAATATTGTTCTCATGTGTTACATCATATGACCAAGTAGTTTGATTGGTAAACATTTACAGTTAAATTTGCGTATAGGTCATATTGACACAGATATGACATCCATGCTACCAGCTTTCTTCAGGCTCAGATGCTTCTTGTACTGCTTTGATCTTTTTTACAGGGAAATTATCTTCTTCAGTATAATAACTGACCAGTATCAGCCTTTAAAAACAAACACAGGTTGAATTCTGACGCCTTTGTAACAATGGGATGCAGGGTAACTCACCCTCGTTGCACAGTGCCGCCTTGAAGCCCGGCAGACAGTCACACTGTCCTGTGATGTGGTGACATGGTCCATTACTGTGGACACACTGTGGACATGTCTGACTGCAGCGGTGACCAAAGTAACCAGGAGAGCAGACTGCAGGCAAACCAGGAGAAACAGAAATCTGATGTCATTTCACCTGCATTTAATTTTAAGACATTTACTAAGGTAACAGCTATCAAAAGCTGGGATTGTCTTTTAGGGGCTTTCTGGGAGTGAAAGATGGGGAGATTTAACATCAAAGATGAGGCCAAATCTGTCAACTTAACATTGAGGTGGTCAACAATCATGTAGCCTGCAAACAAACAATGCAAGGGCAGCTATCAGGGAGCACCAAAATGAAAAAAGGATATAGACCTCAGAAAGGCAGAGAATTTAAAATATATAAAACACTGTTAGGAACTGCTCAGCTATATTTGAAGTTTAGCTAACTGATGAGTTTCATCTAGTTTGATCGATAGATATAACTGAGTATCATCTGCATAACAATGAAAGTTTATGGAATATTTCCTGATAATATTGCCTAAAGGAAGCATATATAAAGTGAAGAGGATTGGTCCGAGGACAGATCCTTGTGGAACTCCATGACTAACTTTGGCATGCATGGAGGACTCATCGTTAACATGTACAAACTGAAATCGATCTGATAAATAGGACTTAAACCAGCTTAGAGCGGTTCCTTTAATGCCAATGAAATATTCCAGTCTCTGCAATAGGATCTGATGGTCAATGGTATCAAATGCAGCACTAATAAAACCAGTACAGAGACAAGTCCTTTGTCTGATGCAATAAGGAGGTCGTTAGTAATTTTCACCAGTGCTGTCTCTGTGCTATGATGAGCTCTAAATCCTGACTGAAAATCCTCAAATAAACTATTGCTCTGTAGAAAGTTACACAGCTGTTTAGCAACTGCTTTCTCCAGAACCTTAGAGAGAAATGGAGGGTTAGATATAGGTCTATAGTTGGCTAAAACATCCGGATCAAGTTTGGGCTTTTTCAGAAGAGGTTTAATTACAGCTACTTTAAAGTACTGTGGTACATAGCCTGTTGATAAAGATAGATTGATCATATCTAGTATAGAGGTGCTGACTAAGGGTAAAACATCTTTAAGCAGCCTAGTCGGGATGGAGTCTAAGAGGCAGGTTGATGGTTTAGATGAAGAAATTATTGAAGTTAGTTGGTAAAGATTGAGGGAAGCAAACAGTCTAAACATGTATCTGGTTCTACAGCTGTATCTAAGGTTCCTGAGTTAAGAGATAAGTCGGTGCCAGTTGAGGGCAGGTCTTGGTGAATTTTGTCTCTAATAGCTAGAATTTTATCATTAAAGAAGCTCATGAAATCGTAACTACTGAGAGCTATGGGAATACTTGGCTCAATAGAGCTGTGACTCTCTGTCAGCCTGGCTACAGTGCTGAAAAGAAACTTTGGGTTGTTCCTATTTTCCTCTATTAATGACGAGTAGTACGCTGCTCTAGCATTACGGAGGGCCTTCCTATAAGTTTTAAGACTATCTTGCCAAATTAAACGAGAATTTTCCACTTTGGTGGAACACCAATTCCTCTCAAGTTTCCGCGATATTTGCTTTAATTTGCGAGTTTCAGTATTATACCATGGAGCTAACCATCTTTGTTTTAGTATTTTCTTTTTTAGAGGGGCTACAGAGTCGAGTGTCATTCGCAGCGAGCCTGCAGCACTATCAACAAGATGATCGATTTGGGAGGGACTGAAACTAGCATAGGAGTCCTCCGTTACTTTGTGACTAGATAATGTATTTAGAGCTGATGGAATCGCATCCTTAAATTTAGCTATAGCACTATCAGACAGACATCTTGTATAGAAATTTTTGCCCAATGGCGTGTAGTTCAGCAATACAAACTCAAAAGTTATTAAACAGTGGTTTAGTGAATGATTAATGATTAGTAGGCTAGAGTCGAAGATAGCTGCAACTCCACCTCCTCGGCCTGTGCCTCGAGGAATGTGAGTATTAATATGACTGGGAGGGGTGGATTCATTTAGGCTAACATATTCTCCATCACCCAGCCAGGTTTCAGTAAAGGGGAAAGGAAAGGGGGGGGGGCTGGGTGACTGTCCGAAGGAGGAATAGTCGTAAGCATTCAAAGTCCACGGGGCACCATCAACCTGTTCACGTTTCTAACAGATTTTCCCCACTCAGCGACACACCCGCTGAGAAACCAACTCTGATCATTGGCAGCTCCATTTTGAGAAACGTGAAGTTAGTGAAGCCAGCGGCCATAGTTAAGTGCATCCCTGGGGCCAGAGCGGGCGACATTGAGTCTTATTTGAAACTGCTGGCTTAATTAATTAATATGACTGGGAGGGGTGGATTCATTTAGGCTAACATATTCTCCATCACCCAACCAGGTTTCACTAAGACAAAATAAATCAATATCATAATCTGATATTAGTTCATTTACTAGTACACCTTTAGAAGAGAGAGATCTGATGTTTAAGAGTCCACAACGTGGCGTTCTTAAGCTTCCTCAAGATATACAGTCGTTTCTGAGCTTTCTTCACCAGTGTGGAGATGTGAGATGAAGGACAGTACCCACCCCAGCCACAGCCTGTGGCTAATATGGCCCTACATTTCACATTGTGGCCTCTTGTGACACTTAATAATACAGACTGACAGTGTGATTTCTTAATGTACTTAAATGTAGGTACAGTGGAAGAAAACAAGACCATGGGGAAGAAAGGCATAAAACAATTAGGTATTTTAGAGGAAATGAGAAATACATTAGTTATTTTAGTTTGTTACCTTACTGTACAACCACAGTTCACATAACATAACTGAGAAATACATTACACCATAATTTATAAATTCTACAGAATATCAGTGTTGTTCACATCATTTTCCCAAACGTTTCTCTAAAATGCCAGATTTCTTTGTTCCCCATACTCTTGTTTTCCTCCACAGTACCTACATTTAAGTTCCATTAGGAACAATTTTATTCGTACCTGATTCAGTGAATGAAATTGCACAATTAGTCTTTCCTCCTTAACAATATGGGAACGGACTGACCCGGTACGGGGGACGTAATCGATTTTCGCTATTCTAGCTATTTTCCGTCCAAAAACAGCGGCGCTTTGTGTCAACAGAGATCGTCTGGCGGGCCGTCATCTTGGTGAGCTAGGCTGCAGTCTTAAGTTTTGTTTGTGGCTGTGTACGAAATCACCCACTACTCACAATAGTGGACTATATAGTGAGCATGCCATTTTGTAGTGCTGTCCGAATGTATAATACCCTATATAGTCCACTCAATGTATCCCAGAATGCATTTTGAAAAGTACTGTACAACCTACAACCGATGGTCAGTAACCAAGCCCTACATACCATCATGCATTGCGCTAATAGAAAAAATTGATTGTCCGACGGTAATGACGTAATTAACGGCGCCGAAATAACGATCGAGTAGTGTCTGAAAGTGTTCTTTTAATAATGCGAGTGAGCTCACTATATAGTGCTCTACATACAACTCCCTAGTGCAGATAAAGAGTGTAATTTGGCGGAGGCGATCGTTATCGGCCTCTGCTGGCGACCCGTAGGAGCTACACAGACATGCAGGATATGCCTGAAATCGTAAAGACCACTTGCAGCCCTGTAGGATGTTCTGTTCTCAAGCTGTGGGCGATGTGTGTGATGTTCAGTAAATAAACTGTGTAAACTGTCAAAGTGTGAGATCACATATTATAGCCTACATGTGTGAGAGTTCAGAGATACAGTAGTTTTGGGAACTCCGCCCATCAGCGTCAGAAACTAATAAATGCCTTAGGACAGACTATTTGGTGTAGTCAGAAGTTATGTCAAACAGCATTAATATGCTATGTTGGCTCAAATGTTGAGTGTCTATGGTTGGAAATAATATAAACATGAAAGGGGCGGAGGGAGAGCATATCCCAAGCTTTGTCTGAGGGGAGGCTCGTAGTCTCAGATTTTGATAACCCCTGCTTTAAGTCAAGTATCAGCTGTGTGATGGTCTTGCAGCAGCATGTAGTGCTGATGTGGGACTTACTCCTCTGACATGTAGTGCCTCTGTATCCTGGAGCACACTCACAGGTTCCTTCATCTGGAGAACAGGACGCTCCATTCTTACAGTTACAGGGGAGGGAGCAATTTGGGCCCCAGCGGCCCTCTGCACACACACTGTCACAGTGGATACCTGCTCACACACATACACAAACACACAAATAAAGATAATTTTTAGTGTATTTCATACAGTGAATGCATGCAAGTGTAAACTGAGTACACTTCTGACAAATAAAAAAAATTGTTTCTTCTTCACCGACCACATCATAGGGAATCTGTCAAAACAACAAACAAATTCAATTTTAACAACATCCACACATAAATACAAACAGTAAAAGTAGTAGTGGTACAGAAAATAAATAATGGTACTGATAATTATAGTAATATTAAGGATAATAATAATAGGAAAAGTAAAAATAATTGTTGCAGTGGGTGACTTGTAGCCACAGATCCAGTATAAACATTTTGTATAATTTAGCTACTCCTGCTCAGCTTTCACACTTCATATACATGACTAACAACACAAACACTGAAATGTCAATCATAAAATAACATTTTAGCAACTGATATTGACCATTATTTATTAATTATATTTAATTCAATATTCATAACAAAAGTTATTTCATTGCACTTCACATATAAAGCGGGTCTATACCGTACTCATTGAAATATTATTTACAGAAACCCAACAATTCCCAACATGAGCAAGCACTTGGTGACTATGGCAAGGAAAACTCCCTTTTAACTGGCTGAAAACTTGAGCAGAACACTAGACTCAGGGTGGGCGGGCAACTGCCTTGACTGGTTACTCGACTGTAAAAAAAGTAATCATAGTAATAATACAATTATCAGTATCAAGTGATACTAATAATGACAACAACAATAATAAGGACTAATAATAATAATAATAGTATTGTGTCTTAAGTACAATTATGAGTATTTCCATTATTATCCGTTATTTTACTTGTAATTAATAGTATATAAGATTTTACCAAAAACATATGATAAGCTTATAATTTCACCAAATTTGGTTGTTTAGGAGACGCTTGTTTGTGTTTATTTAGCCCCTTGTCATATTTTAGATGTGTTTAAGAGTGATTTTCTCTTTAAAGTTCTTAGATGGTTTTATTTAATTTAATTGTTTGAAGCCCCCAAATGTATAATTTTTCACATACTCAAAAAGCAAAGATTCAGTCCAGGCAATTCTGGCATATGCCAGAGGGGCCGGACTATTTGTTTTGGGGTGGGCCAATCAGATTGATATTAATATCAGTGTTTCTCACACAGCTTCACTTGGGTGGCCGCTGAGGTACATTAACAGCCGCTCAACTATATTTGACGAACCATTTAAGCATTTTGCAGAGAAACAGTGAGAGAAATCATCATTTATTACGCTAAAAGACTCAGACGGTGGCAAACCAGGTAGCCTTCCGTGTTTGAGAACTGCGCTGTTTTTCCGGGGTCTCTCTTTTTTTACATTTCCCACCAGTGGGCTGCAGCGCTGCAAGACTTGTTCAACAAAACGCTTCCCTTCACTCCTGGTTTCAATAGTAAACTGTCATAGGAATGACAATTACCGACAAAAAACATTATATTCTAAGAAGAAACATTTAAAAAAAATTACAAAGTATCTTTTGTATTTCAAGCTAATTTCTGAGGGACGGCCTTTAAGCTATAAGGTCCTCAAATTCCACTGGAATCCAACAGCAGAACATCACCATGCTTTTACACCTGTATGGCAGTAGGGGGTGGTAAAGACCTGTGGGGGATGCAGAACACGGGTCTTATTTCTAAAACTGTGCCCAGAAACCTCACTAAAAGTGTACGTGTGTCCAAAAGCCAAAAATGGCGTACCCCCAAAAAATATTCAGGCTTATAAAACCGTGCGTGCGCACACTTGTTCCTTGAAACACTTACAATTGTCTATAAATGGTCAGTGGAATTAATATTAATACGTACTGACTATGGGAAGAGAAGGAGGCAAACTCTGACAGAGAAGCTACAAAACGAGATTTAACTCAGCGTGACACTGACGATCCTTTTGGTGAAGCTGAAGTTGTTTGGTGGGTAAAAAAAGCACTTTCATGCAACATTTGTGCACCGGAGGAAAAGGGGCACCGGAGCTCCACTCCCTTTATAACCGATCTGCAAGAACGGGGCATTCCTCTTGAGTAGTGACGTCACTGACCGGAGGGACACACTCACACACATATTATGCAGGCGCCGTCATCAAAAGAGGAATTACCCAGCAGACATCAATATAGCATCCACGTTAACTTTAGGACTAAAATAAGTGTTTTTTTCTCTCCTCTCTGACAACCCCCATGTTACTTCAATCATTGTTCTTAAGATTTACAGGACCTCAGTCTATAAGAAGAATCAAACAAGGGCGCGAATCCCCGGTCAATAAGAAAATCACTCACACATATGATCGTCACCTCTGTGATCGTCTGTTTTGTTTTTTCACACATAGCCCGACCAGATTCACTAACTCCAGTTCTTTGTAACATTTAGTTCCTGATAACATTATTGTATAGTATAGACTGAAGTAGAGGAAGGGATAAAACAACTTCGGATCTACATAGCCAGCTTTCATCTGAAGTCGACAGCTGTCAGGCTATTGACAGGCGGTCACTATTCTCTCCCCCTTGATGGGGCCTGTAGGCTATGACGGGGGAAATAAAATAAGCTACTTGAGCACAAGTTTCTCGAAGGGACTGAATTCACAGTTTATCCTGCGACACCTGTGAGGTGCTTTTTTCTCCTAGCTGTGTATATTACTTCAATAAAATAAATGCTCGTTTTCTCCTCTCTGTCAATGCGGCAGGTTACAGCAATGTTTTAAAAAAAATAATTTTAATATATAATTTTAATTTTAATTAATTTTTTTATAAATAATTTTTTTCACGTGTACGACAGCTACGCACATCATGCGCGTTTTGCGGGAGTGCGCATTGCTGGCCTTTACCTACTACTGGTGTACAGTCTCAGGGTGCTGGATTTGGGGTAAAACCCTCCATGCATTGTGAGGAGCTGTCTTATGTTATGTATGTCAGCGGCCTCTATCTCCTCCTTTGGTCAGTTCATTATACCAGCGGGGTATCTGATGGCGGGTATGTGTTGATGGCTCGGATCTTGTTCTTCCCATTCAGCTGACTTTTCAGGACCTGCCTTACTCTTTGTTGGTATTTGGCCGTGGCGGACTTCCTTGCTGCCTCCCCAAGGTATTTGTAGTTGTCCTGAACATCTGCAATTTTACCTTCTGGTAGTTCAACCCCCTCAGTTCTGATAATTTTCCCTCTTTTTGATATCATGCGACCACACTTGTCCAGTCCGAACGACATTCCAATGTCGTTGCTGTAGATCCTGGTAGTGTGGATCGTGTGAGTCGATGTCTCGCTCATTCCTGGCATACAGCTTGATGTCATCCATGTAGAGGAGGTGACTGATGGTTGCTCCACTTCAGAACCGGTATCCATAGCCAGTCTTTGTGATGATCTGGCTGAGGGGGTTCAGGCCTATGCAGAACAGCAGCAGGGATAGTGAATCACCTTGGTATATGCCGCACTTGATAGTGACTTGTGCAATTGGCTTTGAGTTGGCTTCCAGACTTGTTTTCCACAGCCCCATTAAGTTCTTGAAGATTATTAGTGTCCTGTTGATCTTGTACATTTCCAAGCATTCCAGTGTCCATGTATGTGGCATTGAGTCGTAGACTTTCTTGTAGTCAATCCAGGTGGTGCACAGATTGGTCTGCCTGGTCTTATATCGACCAGTAGCTGGTGCTTGGCTCCCCTGGTAATACTGTGAGTTGGAAGGGATTGTTCCCTTGCATATTGTCATATCTGAAAATCTTTAATGTTTTGTCGTTTTGCACCCATAAAAAACAAAACACTGGAAGCAGGGTCAAACAGGTAGCCTGGCTCTGTCCAAAGTTTAAAATAACCTTTTAAAGCTGCCTAGTAGGATAAGCTATACGTCTATTAATCCCCTATAGAGGAAATTCAGAGTGACATAGCAGCACCTAGCAGACTAAGATTAAGGCTGTGTGATGTATTATGTTGAGGGGACAGCAAATTTACATTGTTATACAAGCTGTATACTCACTACTTTACATTCTAGCAAAGTGTCATTTCTTCAGTGTTGTCACATTAAAAGATATAATAAACTATGATTTACTCACTTTTATGAGATACTGTATTTCCCATCATACTACTCTCTATAGTCTGTAGTGTCTGTTATTATAGGATAATGTAACACAACATGAAAGTATACAATAAGCATTTGTATATTTTATTGCAATATAAAGTTACGTCTCCATCTTTAATTGCCTCATTCACATAGTTGATAATGATACACTATGAGCCAAAGATCAGAACCACAGACAGTAGGAAGTAATGCAAATGGAAATTTTTGGTATAATGTAATGTTCAAATCAAATCAATCTCTATTTGTCCCCGTAGGGAAATTAGTTAGAACATTTTCATTGGGTCTTACCAGTCCATCCAGCCAGACAGCGGCAGTGACCAGTAGAGTGGTGACATCCATCAGCATGACTGCAATCACAGCGTTCTTTACAGTCCTGACCATAGGTACCATCCTGAGGAGGACCGAACAGTACCATCACAGAGCTGAACTTCAGTAAAGTGTCATTAAGGCATTAAACTTTGAGTCTTTTCATGCTTTTAAATCCTATTTTACTTCCACTGCTTCATGTGTTCTCAAGGGACAGTTCAACAAGGTCAATTTGTCATACTGTACATTTGTCATACTGTACACCTGCTCAACAAGGTCAACAAAAATGTTGGATACTTATGGGACTACATTAGGATTTGATCCAAACAAATGTAGAGAGTAATATAACATGAGTTGTTTTCATGTCATTTTTTGTTGTTCAACAACATTAACAAGTATTATGAGACATTTTTAGTTTATAATTGCTAATACAAAACACAATCTTCAACACTACTGAAATAAAATATAATAATATAATAATATAAAATATCAGGTTCTAATGTCAAGAAAATCAAGTAAATCATTAGTGATTTTCGGTGGACTAGAACTGTGATTTCCTCACTGACTTGCCAACAATAATTCTGGACACATTCCAAAAAAGAAAATTTTCTTTGCAAAATAAGACAAACAAACAAACAAACAAACAAACAAATAATTTCAGTTTTTTTCCACATAAACATCTGGGAATATCCATATCCTCTCACCTGGCACTGGAATTCACACCTCTCTCCTCTCCAGCCTAGAGCACAGGTACAGTGACCGTCCAGCACGTTACACGCTCCTCCATTCCCACACATACAGGTTAAGTTACAGCCCAGACCCCAGGTACCACTGGGACAGTTGATGGAGCAGTCCACCCCATGCCACCCTGTTTAAACAAGGTCACTAAGAGTCAAACACACACATACCTTGGGTTCCATTAACAGTAACACACATCATAAACATTATTGGGTGTAACACAAGGATCAGAATACCTCTGGAACAGTTTCCTTGAAATAATGCTGTCACCAAAATTCATCAGGACAGAAGTTATGGTGGCTTTTTAAAAGTGAATTGCTACCAAAAAGTTGGTTTGCCTGAAAAGAAAAATTGTATTCCATCATAGACTCATTCCACTCAGCCTTCTGAGAGAGCGGTATCCAGGAAAAGAGAGAGCAAAAATGACAGAGGAGAAAGGATGTGAACCTACACATAATGGTACTATTCCCTTTAAAATAATAAAACATTTAAGGTTATAGTAATAGACCATATATTTATTTATTTAATATTGAATTAAAATTCCCTCGATATGTACATACTGTATAATCATTGCTGGCAGACCCATGTTTTTATAGACTAGAATGTGTTTGCATGGCTTTAGCCTTCTTTTTTCCCAAATAAGTGATTTGTTATAAAGTTCAGAAGTAAGGTATTATGACTAATATCTCTCCTCTTCTCTTTCTCTCCTCCTCCACTCACCTGGTTTACAGGAGCAGGATCCATCCACAGATGAACACTGAGCTCTGTTCTTACAGTTACAGCTGGAGGAACAGTTCAATCCATATGTTGCTGCTGGGCAGGGGACTGTACAGTTGGGACCCTGCGAAGGCCACCACAATAGATGTACAGTTAGGACTGGCTGTGAGGATATCACACAGGAATATACACGACAGAACATGTTCACATACACAGCACTGGACAAAATGTTTGTTACAGGCCTACTATCATCAGTTGAAATATTTATTTTTTTAAGTTTGCTTGCTTCTACAGTATAGTATGTAAAATCTTGACTTTAAGGATAATCAGAAGGAGCTTTATTGCCAAGTAGTGTTTTACACATACAAGAAATTTGCTTTGATGATAAGGTGCTACACGGAGACAGACATACAGTTGAAATAAATAGATGTAGAAATATATAAATATGTAATAAGCAAATGCAAGTTATATAAGAATAACAGAAGAATAGAGACAAATAATACAACTGACAATATAAAGAAATAATAATAAAAATAAAAATAACAATGGAACAACAACGATTTACAACAAATATTGCAATGTGCCCGGTTCGTGTATGATATGACATGAAGTGACATTTACATGTGCTACTGCTGATTGATCAAAGCTAAGCAGGTTTGGGCTTGGCCAGTACCTGTCTGGGAGACCTCGTGGGAAAACTAAGTTGCTGCTGGAAGTGGTGTTGGGGGGCAGTCTCCCCTCTGGTCCTAATAATAAGATCCCAATAACCCCATGCAATGATGGAGACACTGCGTTGTAGAAGCTGCTGTCCTTCAGATGACATGTTAAACCGAGGTCCTGACTCATTGTGATCATGAAAGATCCCATGGCACTTGTTGCTAAGAGTAGGGGGTTCCCCGGGGCCATGGCAAAATTCCCAACCTGGCTTTCACCATCTGGCCATCTAATCATCCCCCATAGTAATTAGCTCAATGTTTCCCTCCCTCTCTGCCTCAAGCTGATGTGGTGAGTCCTCCCCACTTCACTGTGAAGCACTTTGAGTATCTATGATAAAGCACTATATAAATGTAATTCATTACCATTGTTGATGAGGCTAGCTAGAGAAGTAGAAGCTGGCGAGAGGTTTTGGTCCTGATGGGCTGCAGCCTCTTGCCAGAGGGAGAGTCTGAAACAGTTTGTGTCCAGGTTGGGAGGAGTCAGCTGAAATCTTTCCTGCTCACCTCAGAGTCCTGGAGGCGTACAGGTTCTGAAGTGAAGGAAGATTGCAGCCAATCACCTTCTCTGCAGAGCGAATAATATGGTACAGCCTGCCCTTGTCCCTGGCAGTGGCAGCAGCATACCAGAGGAGGAGGTGAGGATGGACTCAATGATGGCGGTGTAGAAGCGCACCATCATTGTGTTTGGCAGGCTGAACTTCTTCAGCTGCCGCAGGAAGTACATCCTCTGCTGGGCCTTCTTGGTAAGGGAGGTGATGTTCAGCTCCCACTTGAGGTCCTGGGAGATGATGGTGCCCAGGAAGCGGAAGGAGTCCACTGTGGCGACGGGGAAGTCACTCAGGATGATGGGGGAGGGTGGGGCTGGGCTCTTCCTGAAGTCCACGACCATCTCCACGGTCTTCAGAGCGTTGAGCTCCAGACTGTTCTGGCTGCACCAGGTCACCAAATCGTCAATGTCCCACCTGTAGGCAGACTCATCCCCACCAGAGATGAGCCTAATGAGGGTGGTGTCGTCCGCAAACTTCAGGAGTTTGACAGACTGGTGACTGGAGGTGCAGCTTTTGGTCTACAGGGAGAAGAACAGAGGGGAAAGAACGCAGCCTTGAGGGGAACCAGTGCTGATGGTCCTGGAGTTAGAAACATGTTTTCCCTTCTTCATGTGCTGCTTCCTGTCAAGTCTGTAGTTTAAGGTGGGACAACACAAGGCTCTCAAAATACTTCATTACCACAGAGGTCAGGGCGACGGGTCTGTAGTCATTTAGTTCTGTGGTCCTTGGTTTTTTGGGGACAGGGATGATGGTGGAGGCTTTGAAGCAGGCTGGCACATGGCATGTCTCCAGTGAGGTGTAAAAAAAAACACAGGAGACAGCTGATCAGCACAGTGCTTCAGGGTGGATGGGGAGACAGAGTCTGGCCCAGCTGCGTTGAGTGGTTTCTGCCTCCTGAACAGTCTGTTGTCATCCCTCTCCAGGATGGTAAGAGAGGGGAGGAGGTGGGGGATGAGATGGTGGACTGTGGTCGGTCAGTGGTGTGATGGGGGATGGTGTCATGTCTGCCCCTTTGTCTTTCAAAGCGACAGTAAAACTGGTTCAACTCGTTGGCAAGGCGTGAGTCGTTCATGGAGTGGGGGGATTTAGGTTTGTAGCTGGTGATCTGTCTGAATCCTCTCCAGACAGAAGTAGAGTCATTCCTTGAGAACTGGTGTTGGTGTCTGCGTACAGCTGTTCAGCATCTTGCACCGCCTTGCTAAACCTGTACTTTGACTCCTTAAACCTGGCCCGGTCGCCACTCCTAAACGCCTCTTCCTTTTTCAACCTCAGCTGTCTGAGCTTAGCTGTAAACCAGGTTTTGTCATTGTTATAATTCACCCTGGTGCGTGTTGGAATACAGCTGTCCTCACAGAAGCTGATGTAGGACGTCACAGCCTCTGTATACTTCACCAGATTGTTGGTAGCTGTCCTGAAAACATCCCAGTCAGTGCAGTCCAAACACGCCTGAAGATCCTCTACAGCTTCACTGGTCTATTTCTTTGATGTCCTCACTACAGGTTTACAGAGTTTTAATTTCTGTCTGTAAGCAGGAATCCGGTGGACCATGACGTGATCAGAGTGTCCCAGTGGAGCGCGTGTTCTTCTACTCTAACTGTCTGTATTTGGGGAGTTCTTGGTAGAGGTTTCCTTTGTTAAAGTCACCAAGAACAATAACAAGCGACTCCCGGTTTGTCTGCTCCACAGTATTTGGTCGGCCAGCAGGCGCTGTGCGTCGTTGCACGTTGGCGTGCGGCAGAATGTAAACACCGACCAGAATGAATGAAGCAAACTCACGGGGGGAGTAAAACGGCTTTCCAGAAAAATTCCAGATTAGGAGAACAGTGCTGCTGAATCACTGACACGTTGGTACACCAGCCATTGTTAATATAAAAACAGACACTTCCACCTTTTGTTCTGCCGGAGAGCTCTGTGGCGATCCGCTCTGTAGAGTTGGAAGCCAGCCCGCTCCGGTATTGATCCACACAGCCACGTCTCACAGAACAGAAGATGAATAAAAGTCTCTGTTTTTCCCCACCAGTAGCTGAAGTTCGTCCAGTTTGTTGCACAGTGAGTGCACATTGGAGAGAAATATTGTCCTCGCCAGCGGAGGCGCACAAGCGACCCGGCTCGTTTCCCTCTTTTATGGCGCTTCACTCGGCGAACAACAACGAGAGAGCCCTTCACCAAAATGTCCAATAATTCCACTGATGACGCAGAAAAGTGGGAAATAAATCCGCTGGAGTTGTTCCCCTGATGTTCATGAGCTCTTTCACCAGAGAAGAGCTGTGAATCACAGCCAAAAACTGAGTTAACACACAAAAACAAAACAAAACAAAGTGCAACTAACACCGAGGCAGCTATAGACAGCGCCATCTTGGAAATATCTGTGAAAGAAGAATGCTTTAGTTGTAACTGCTGCAACTAGATGTTAATAAGGAGCCATATTTTGTTTTGATAGCACCTTTAATGCCTCGTGCATTCTACACGATTTTCAGTGTCGGACGATGGCCGTGCTGTTCACACTACACAACTTGCCATCTTGAAGTCGTTGTGGCGTTCACACTACATGACTGACTGCAGGAGCTGACAGCAGCTCTGTCACCTGACGCTGGTCTCGAAACCACGTTTTGTCAAGAAAACACGTAAAATGTGAAACGGGAAATGACACAAACCTACATATGAAACAGCTGTTGTTTGTTATCATAAAGATAGCAATTATAAAGACAAAAAATATGGGTTAAAGAATGGATTAGCATACACAGGTAGCAGGGATTGTCTATTTTGATGCGTCGTTGTGTAGTTGTGTAGTTGTGTGTGTAGTAGTAGTGTAGTTGTGTGTGTAGTAGTAGTTGTGTAGACTGGCGACAGCTAATCGATTGCTGATTTACCCCTGATGACACCTTGACGGTCGCCGAGCGGCAAATCGGGCTAAATAAATGCATTGCAGAATAGATATTTTCACTACACGTATTCGTTCAGTATTCATATCTGGTCTGTATTTGCTAGGTGGGACTGAGGCAGACTTTGTGAACTCTGTGAAGAGGATGTGCGCCAGCTCTTCCATAGGCAGAAGATCAGGAAGGTTCCTGGTCCAGATGGTATGTCACCTGAAAATCTGTGCAGACCCCATCTTCACACAGATCTTCAACAGATCTCATCTGATGAACAGCTGACTCTGACTCACAGTGTCAGGAACAACTCCTGTGCAATAACCCAATATCTCTAATCTCCCACCTGTTTACTGGTTACCACTTATTTATTCACCATTCTCTCGTTCTCTCTTTCAAAGCTGTTCATAGTGTTCATATTGTTTATTGTATATACTGTGTACCAAATCCACCTTCCTCAAGTATATAACACCTGCACATAATAATTATTTGTTCCAGCATCCTTCGCACTATGCTCATCGCACTGTGTGTGTATGTATGTGTCAATGTATATCACATCCACCTCTGGCATGTACATAATAATAATAATAATAATTTACTCCTGCATCCTTTGCACTCTGCTGTCTCAATGTGTCTATATTGTCTTTTTTCAAAGTGTGTATATTTGTGTTGTTTATACTGCAGCCTGTGTCTGATTTTATTTTATTATTATGTTGTATTATTGTATGAATAAGCACATCGAGTCAAATTCCCCATATTTGCACACATACCTGGAAATAAAAGCTAATTCTGATTCTTAGACTTCAATAGGCTTTTTCTTGCAATTTTGTGCAAGCATTATGGTAATTCCAAGTATACAAAATTAATGTAATAGTACATCCTTTCATACAATAGCTGTCACAGTTTGTGCCTTAGTCCCTCCCTTAAGCCACACACTCTCATATCCAGCTTCCTGCATACACTATCTGTCCTGAACTAAATCTCCATCTGACCTGCACTAAAAAAAATGATGAGTGTTCTCTACTTAACAAATGTATAAAAAAGAGCCCATGACAGGAAACTTTATATACACTGAACAAAACACATACACACAGGTGTGCCTTAGGTTGGTTACAATAAAAGGCCACTCCAAAATGTGTCACTGTATTGGGGGGGTCTGGGGTGGTCTGGAAACCAGTCAGTATCTGGTGTGACCACCATTTGCCTCATGCAGCATAGAGTTGATCAGGTTGTTGATTGTGGCCTGTGGAATGTTGGTCTACTCCTCTTCAATGGCTGTGTGAAGTTGCAGTCAGGTCGAAACCCTGATTAGGACGACAACCATGCAGATGAGCTTCCCTGAGACGATTCCTGACTGTTTGTGCAGAAATTTGTTGGTTATGCACACCGATTGTTGCAGCAGCTGTCCGGGTGGCTGGTCTCAGACTGCAAACGTTTTGTTTGTTTTCACTGTAATATCTTTTGTGAATCAGACCTTGAGACGGTGCAGATAGCAGTTACAAGTGATGTTTAATTAATGGTGCTCAGTTGACTCATTGACTGCTGCTGTGCTGACTGTATGGAGAAATGAGTTTACCGTAAAGCCTGGAGCACAGATACACTCTCCAGTCACGCTGTGGCAGTCGGCACCGTTCTGGCACTGGCACACCTGCTGGCAGGACTCGCCATAAAATCCTGGGGTGCATGTCTCATTGCAGTAGAGGCCTGCCCAACCAGGCTGACATGTACACTCCCCTGACATTGGATGGCAGCTGTTGACAAGAGAGATTACAGATTGTGTCAATTCTTATTTAGTTTTTGCTTTTGCTGTAGGACTACTACTGCTTCTCAAATGTAGGATTCCTACCTGTCAGGGTAGCACTTTACATTAATGGTCAGTAATAACATGGTAATAGTGGGGTAATAGTTTGATAATAAAGCAATAATAATTAAGTCAAATCATGTTTTTAGTAATAACCAGGTAATAGCTAGGTATTAACAATGGGTATATCTAGGTAATAATAGATGGAAATGTATGTAACAGAGTAATAAGGGAAACACATTTAAAGATATCAATGAGGCAAAGCTATTACTATAATATTTTGGCAACAATATCGTAAAATTAGAAAAGTTATATCAGTGCAATATTTTTATTTTTTTTAAATGGTAATATATTGACATTAATGGGATAATACCTGATAATAATAAGGTAATATAGGCTGTAATACCTTCAGAATCACACAAACATTCTTGGAAGTCAAAATTGGTAATAACCATATTTTAATGTTGAAATTCACCCTCCCTTATGCTCCAAACATTCCCTTTTGTTTCAAGGTAATACTGTACAAATTATATGTTTAATGCATAATGCAAAATGATTAACTGGAAACTCTTATTTTCTTTGTAATAAACATAAATCAGTGCCGCAAAATGCTAAACAACCGGTTTCTATTTAACGTCATGGTAATATTTTCATTTGTTTATGTCCTGTCAACTCTGCAGTAACATTACCATTTTTGATCATTTTGATCATCACCTCAGTGTCTTAGATCACCATTAATGACATTAGTTAGTCAAATACTATAGCACCAATGTAACCCGGACTTTCACAGCTTAGCTAGGTTTCTATGGCTCCTTTTTTCTCCTTTGCATGACGGTATATGTAGGTCACGTTTGTTATGATGATGATGATGATGATGATTCTGGTCTTGTTTTGGTTCCATGTCTTGTGTTCTACTGTTTTGCCCATGTGTGCTCTTTGTTTTGTCGATCCTGTTTTAAGTCTGTTTTTGGTTCTGTTTTTCTCTGTGTAACCTTGTTTTTTTATGCATTTGCATGTTTAAGTTTACTTCGTATCTGTCTTGTATTATCTTAGGTCTTAGTCGTGTATTTTAGTTCTTTGCCTCAGTACTTAGTCCAGTGTCTTAGTTCCTAGTCCTGTGCCTTTGTTCATGTCAGTGTTTACTCCTGATCCCAGTTCAGTCTGTTTTCCCTAATGGTTGTAGGATATTTGTATAATTTGTGATCCGTCTGCTTGTGTTCTGGATTAATAAGCGGTTGACAATAGATGGTTTCTGTCTGTTAGATGTCAGTTTATGTTCTGTGCCAGTTTCATTTATTCATTTGGTTATGATCATTCGATGTTCTGTTCTGTTCAGCCATCTTAGTCTGTTCTATCTTGTGCATGTATTCCTCATTTACTTGGTCTGTCTTCTCTGTTCTGGGTTTTGAGTTCCTGTTAGAGTCTTGTCTTGTGTTTTGCAACCTATTAGTGTCTTTCTGTTTTCCCCTGCTGTCTCTCTGCCTGGCTGTGTCTCATTAGCCTCATCTCTGTCACCTGTGTTGTTCCCGCCCAGCTTGTTAGTCCCTATGCTTGCTTGTTTCCTTCAGTCCTTGTCCAGTCATTGTTGTGGTTGTAGCTTGTCATTCCCTGCCTGTTCCCTGCCTGTTTCCTGCTGGTACCCTGTTCTGCAGATTTTGGATTATACATGTTTGTGGATTTTCTGTTGGATCACCTTGTTTGCTTGGATTACCTGGACTCAGCCACTCATTGCAAGTGTGCCCGCCTTAAGTCTGTTAATAAACCTTTTGAACTGATGTTCTGCATTTGGGTCCTCCAACCTGCTCTACCCTACACCTGCTGTGACAACTTTAAATTTTAGCAGCTCTTCCAAGCAATGATTATAAAAGAAAGAGCCATTACAATGTCATCTAAAGTGAAAGTCAAGTGTCTCTTTACATTTAAAAAAAAAAAAGAAGCGCACTTAAGATGTCACATCAAGAAAAAGTTGGTGGTTTCGGTAGGATGAGCTGCCTTTTAAGCATCTGTGACAGATTTCAGACCAGGACTGAGACTCAAGGCTATGTTTTATTTGAATCATTACTCCTATTGTTACCATTACTCCTCCTATTCATTACTAATGTCTCCATGAGACTTTTCATTCCATGCCAGGAGGGAGGGTGTTATCTGCAGTAACACAGGTGGAATCTGCCTGTGTTTGACTGACAGCTGGTCCACCAGACACAGCACTCCCATTGAGGAGCATAACAGCTGTTCTCTGCAATAACACATGCAGCCACCAGCTGTGCCAGTCTAACTGATCACTGACTACTGGCCCACAACAGTCAGCTGTCTACAGGGTCAACAATCACACTGACAAACATACACAGACAACACATGAAAAAACCTTCTTCCTAATGTCTGTTAACTGAATTGAAAGATACAGATTTGAACTTGAAATTGAGATTTGAATGTTAAAACTTCAATATGAAGTATATGTAGAACAAACTCTGAACTTCACTAACACTTGCAAGCAAAAACAATGTTTTGAGAGCATATTTATCGCACTGCAGTCAAAAATCAAGTTTGTAGTTACATATAAAAAGGCCTTTCGCTTTGGGCCGGTAAGCTTGCTAGTAGACATCGCTCTTTGTATCTTTGCTCTTTAGAATGCTCGTAGATGGCTCAGTGCTAAAGAAAACTGGAAGCCGAAGGCTGTGTCTCACCATTGTGTATGTAAACAAGGTGTGGACATAGGAGGCCCACGCTGTGGGTGGGCGTAGACAAGTTTGATCAGTGCCGCGCATGCGCTCGTAGGGGGAAAAGCCAATAGCAATGGCCTTAGAGGGCGAAGCCTACATGAAATAGAACCATAACACAGGTTGTAGGAGGTGTGCATCACTTAAAAGTGTCCTTTGGATACACTTTTGTTGTCAAAATGTGTTGTGTTATGATTGGGGCTGGGCAAGTTAACGCGTTATCGACTGTGACTAGATTAAGGTGCTTTGATAGCGGCAAAAAATATAAATACTTTGACAGCGGTGCTGAAATGGATCTCAGTAATGACAGCATCAGTTACTCACATAATCACTTCTTTGCAGTTTTGCCTGCAATATAAAGTATCTCACAAGAGTGAGTACACCCCTCACATTTTTGTAAATATTTGATTATATCTTTTCATGTGACAACACTGAAGAAATTACACTTTGCTACAATGTAAAGTAGTGAGTGGACAGCTTGTATAACAGTGTAAATTTACTGTCCCCTCAAAATAACACATCACACAACCATTAATGTCTAAACCGCTGGCAACTAAAGTGAGTACACCCCTCACAGTCCTCTGCAGCACTGTTTGTCCGTTTTCAGCTACAGTAGAAACATGATTGTGCAACATGGCGACGAGGTTATATAGATATGACAGTTTATTATGTATTATACACCACTGAACACATAGTTATGGATCTTTATTACATTTCTGTCAATAGATCCTCAGAAATATTATACACTGAACCTTAATGTTTACTTTTTGTTTGACCCTTCCCCCACCCCCACCACCTACTTAGTCAGTCTTTTGTGTTAAATATGCCAACCTTTACAAACTGACAAAAGTGGTCTTGACCAGTGGTATAGTCTGTGATTCCCGGGTATTCGCCGTATACCCACTACAAAAAGGTCAAGAATTTCCGTATACCCACTTAGCGAGATGATATGTAACAATATTGTTTGTGAGCTAAATTTCACACTTTCATTTATAAATTCACCCCATCTGTGTTGCGAAGCACTGACTTTTAAGGCTTCCGTGGCCTGTGACCGGGATCTAACGTCACCTACCAAACAACAACACAGCTGCCTGATGGTCACTCTGTGCAAGTTGATTAAACTCAGACTACACTCTTTTAGTGTTTTCGTAAGCCTGCCACTGAATCTCCTGCCGCTCTGAGGGACACCGCGGCAGCAGCAGATGACATGAACGTTAACGTTACAGAAACTACAGACAATGAGGCTGATGCTATCGTAACGTTACCTGGTGAGTGAAAGTAGCATATAGCCTACGTTATCATTAACGGTACTCTAACAGCTGGGGTTGTTGTGATGATGTGGACCACTTTTTATGTCCTCACTGTTCATAATCTGTAATGAATGAGGTTTGGTGATAGAACTGTTATTCCTGCTACTGAGCCTCAGCTTTCCATTATTGTTGAAGATAATAATAGCAATTTGCCCTCTTAAATGTACATTGCCAGCTGACAGAACCTGTGCTCCAGGGACCATATTCATATAACAACTAAGGCTAAATGTAGCTCTTAACTGTCTGAGTTAGATGGTGATTAACATTAAACAGTAAAAAATCAGTCCATTCTCCCCACCTGTAACTGTCATCGGCTGTTAAAGTCTTTGCAGTGTTGATAACACATAGCCTAAGCAGTCCTTCAGAATGCTCTCTATTACATGTACATGCATACTGTATGTATTAGTGAGTGTAGTGGTGCTTAAGGGACGTCACTCTGGGACACGTCGCACTACAAAAAACTAGACAACACGACTGGTCTTGACAATGTGTCCATATGGGGCAAGTCGGGGAGTGAGAACTGGTTGATTTGGCATACCTGCGTGTGTTCTGTGTGTAGCACGGACACGTCCTATCACATTGAAGGCCATACTGTCCTCCAGGACACAATCGGATGTCACATGTCTCCCCTTTGTATCCTGGCTCACACAGACACAATCCGTTGGTGTGGTTGCACTTGCTGTTGTTCTTACAGCGACACATCTTTGTGCAGCCAGCACCATAAGTACCAACTGGACACTCATCCTGGCACCTGTTCACAGCAAGAGATATGCATGGTCAAAAAACACCAACACTCTTACAAGATGTATCACCATTGTTTTTGAATAATCTTTTATTTATTTAGCATAAACCAAGACATCACATGCTACCTTATGGTATATGTCACAAATGGATTAGAAATGGTGCAATTTTCTTTTTTGCTGGTATGACCCTGGGGTCATATTTTGTTGTCTATTTTATCTCTTTCCCTGCACTGTCGGCTGTTCTCCTCCCTTAGAGTGTGTGTGAGTGTATGCAGGTAATAGAGAACAGGTGGGCACACTGGATTGGTTCTGCAGAGCTGATTGGACCCTCCTGATTGGTCCCCTGGATGACAGCAGCACATCTTAAGCCCCACTGACAGGAACTCTTCTCTCTCTGCCTTTCCCAACCTGAGCCTGTGTACTGTGTGTTATGTCTGTGTTCATTGTAAGTAGAGAACTGTTGTGAGTATATTAGACTTAGACTGTAAGTGAACCTGTTTAGTGAACACATTAACTTTGAATAGCTTACCTTTGTAATTCTGACTGTCGTTGACAACCTTGTTTTGTTGGCTTTAGCCATTTTTTGTTTGCTATGTAGCAATTTTCTCTGGTGTAGCTTTGTTGCACAGACTAATTCAAAGAGCACAAATTTATTACAGTAATGCAGTGCAAAACTATACTGTGGCTCAGGAGGTAGAGCCGTTAATCGGAAGGTCGGCGGTTCAATCCCTGGCTCCCCCTGGTTGCGTGTTGAAGTGTCCTTGGGCAAAATACTGAACCCCGAATTGCCCCTGGCGGCTGTTCCGCCAGTGTATGAGTGAGTGTGAATGTTCGTTTCCGTTTGAGCACTTAGGCTCAGTGTATGAATGTGTATGACTGGTGAATGCAGATGTAGTGTAAAAGCACTTTGAGTGGTCGAAAAGACTAGAAAGGCGCTATACAAATACGGAGCATTTACTTGTATAGGATAGATCTAGAAATGCAACAGTGCTAGCCAACCCTGTCTTGTGCTTTTGGCCACAAGTTCTCATCCACATCACACCTTATGTCCTCTCTTGCAATACACCTGAGAAGGAATCTGTTTGCATGTCTAGTCCATCACTGACAGTCTTCTGCAGATATGTTCAGGCATCCAACATTCATTGCATCAAGGAGGGACATCTGATCATGTGGCTGGAGGTCATAAACGTTCCACCTCAATTAGAAAGATAACTCCTCTAGTGGGGTGGGGGGGAAGACACCATCCTGGGATGTATTGTAAACCACTCTGACTGGAAGAGAACGGTAAACCCCACATCTTGTCATTTACAAAACATTTTTGAGGCTGCCTCATGCAAGTCCATCATAGAAGTATGTTGCAATACAACCGAGAAGGATATCTCAGGTGTATTGCACATTCAAACATAATCTTGATTTGTTTGAATGTAAATTTAACCATTTTTACTCATTAGGCAGAGAAAAGCTGTTCTCAAACACTGTTCTCCTAATCAGCTGAGTCAGTGTTCTGGTGAAGGGTTGGATCTAACAGGCTGTCAGCTATAAACTTTTTTTATTTGCAGTGCACAAGTCTGCATGGCTGATGGTCACTCTTATCTGACACTGATAATTAATCTGTGATTTTAGAGTATAAAGGAAAAATCCTACACCCCTTTATTCTGAAGGTCAGAAATCCTTTTTGGGGCCTTATTGTTTCCATGAATACATCCTGATTGAGCGCTCCTACAACTTTATTCACTTGTCCCTACAAACATAAATAAGGTATTTTAGTGTGTAGATTCAGTGGTGGTTCCATGGCTAATTCTGAATCAGTCTTTGCTGGAACATGGAGCTTCAGCTAATATGGCAAACAGCTAAGTAAAACAAACATACAGTCAATACAGTCTGTCCTTGTTCTCTCTTCCATGATTACAGTACAAACATAGTCCAGCCCATCCTCCAAATCAAGCTGGGTTTGAAAATGAAAGGCCTTGCTCCTACCCCATCATTTAGAGCAGGCAAAAAGAAGAAAGACAGCAAATAGGGATTTATTCTTGCAAAGCACTGCCAATAAGCAGGGCAATTTGACTCATCCCCACAACCCCTGCCCCGCTCTGTTAATGGATTCCAGTGGGTTGGGGTGTGGCATGGCTGGCTCAGTTCCAAGCAGTGCTATATAGTGATGTTTGGCTTCCCTCAAACCCTTATTTACTCATAAAACTGCACTTGGAAGGACTATTCCTGTTTTGTCACTGGTCTGCTTAAGTATATGGTGTGTGCTCTCTAGTATTGCTAATTATACAGGCCTAAAGTCCTGCGTGGCACTCTGCTGAGATCTGTCTGTGAAAACATGGAATTGGGCTTTGTGACTGTGTTTTCTCTGTTCTCTCTGTAGAATGTGGAAGAGTTAAGCAGATGCAAATGATCTTTTGACTTTTCATTTATTTATGGTAAGTATTTAGTTTTTGCTAGCCAAAATTAGCATCCTAATTAATATCACAGTTAATGTCATTTACAGATGCACCTTATTTACCAAGCTAGTTAGCGCCACCCTCTCCTCCAAATATGATCACTTCTGGTTCCAAAAACCAAGATGTCAATGGCCAAAATGCCAAACTGGAGGCTTCAGAATGGTGTCCACAAACCAATGGGTGACACCACGGTGGCTACGTCCAATTTTTTTATAGTCTATGGTTCTTTCCATTCCCCATGCCTTTTACCCTGTTTGAACACAATACAATTTCATTGTTATAGTACAGTCTCCCATTTAAACTCCTCCTCTTGCATCCCAGATATAATCACCAATAAGCTGCTCAAAGAGGTATTTTCCACTGTTAGCCCTGTTATCTCATTAGCGCATTTTCAACAATCTCTGGGCTCTGACAGACCATAGACTATATCCAGCCAATGCAATATGCATTTGACGTTATCTGGCGACTACTGGAGCTAGTGCTAGCTTCTTTCATTGGAAAAGAGTTGGTACCACTGACACCACAACATACCTGACACGACAACAACAGTAGCATTAAGTGAATGTTAAGTTGCCAAAATTAAAGCTACATGACCAAGCCATATTCTATGTTAAACTTCTTACCAAATTAAATTAAATATTGTTTATTTAAATGGGGGCAAGCTATTTGACCTTTTGAAAAAATGCCTTTCCGTCTTCCACATGAATTTAACACATTTAACAATCGGTTAATAACTGCAAAAAAATCGTGTATCAAGTATGTGCCAAAAGCTTTCAAAAAGCAAAAGTTATTAGTTATCTATGAACTGAAAGTTGGAACTAGAAAATCCAGGCTGAGCGTCTTTGGGATTCAATGCCAAATTTAATCTATGGAAACTGCTGTATGGTATAATGTAAAAGTTACACTTGCCGTTCTCCTGTGTATCCAGGGCTGCAGAGACACCGTCCATTGGATGGCACACAGAGGCCATTGTTGTGGCACTGACATTCCTGTGAACAGTTTTGTCCAAATCTCCCGTCTGGACATGGCTGGCCACACACTGTACCCTGCACACAGCAATGACAAGAGGCACATACATAAAGTATTTAAACCGTTGATCACGTGAACAGCTTTTACACCTCAAGTCTTTGTATGCATGCCTTTCTGTTTTCTAGGCCTGCTGATGTGTGTGATTGGCACACACGCTTACTGTTTTATTTATTTATTTTATTTTTAATATTTTTTTTAACAGAAACACACATACGCTTTGATTACTTTACGCTTTAATTACTTGTTTAATGAAATGTATGGGGTTGATTGTTCTTATGTAGTATGTATGATGCTTTGGCAATATTGTTATTACGCATCCATGCCAATAAAGCTAATTTGATTGATTTGATTTAGTTTATAACTTCAAAATCAAATGCTGCTTCTTGACAATAATTCATAGAGATCCCATCACATTATGACCTCATGTTACTGTTTTTAGGAGACTTTTTACATGTCTGTTGCCTGTCTTAAGGTCTATCCAGAGAATTGCTAAATTTCTGAGAGCCTTTTAACTTTATGAAATACGTTAGAGGAGCTGCTTGACTGTCTCTCCTCTGGTTCAGCTGATACTGACATGTTATTCAGTGGACACTAGCATGTGTGAGGATACTTTGAGGCTGTTGAGTACTTTAAGAATGAATTGTCTGCCTCTTTTCCCAGGTCTTGTTTACAAACTTAATATTTTTTTCATGTCCAGTGCTAAATCCTTTTAGGACTTAGGCACCTCTGACTTCTCTCGCAGTATTTATTAACATCTGTTTATTCATTTTAGATGATATTGCTTATGCAATCTCCTGTATGCATTGTGCAACTGCTGGGAGTATGGGTGACAATAAGCCATTCTTCTCAAGAAGTTGGAAGTGTGTACCATCCATCCTGCAGGACAGGAGCACTCTCCAGTCACATGGTGACACACTCCTCCATTCTGACACGGACATCTCTCCTCACATTGCTGCCCATGTTTACCTGGAGGACACAGATCTTCACAGCTATGAAGAAAAAGAAAACACCGTCCGGTTAATATTTGTCCACTTTTGAAGGTCACATATGTTAGTTTACTTTACATTTTGGGGCTATCTAACAGAGTTTCAGGAGCAGGGCCACACCTTAATCATGCCACTCCCAGCATTTACATAAATAACCACATAACCCATCTCTTCTTCTTTGCTTACGTATTCTGTTAACGATGAATATTCCATGCAAGCCAAAGTCAGTCACAGAGTTCCACAAGGATCTGTGCTGGGTCCAATCCTGTTCACTTTATATATGCTTCCTTTAGGCAAGATTATCAGGAAACACGCCATAAACTTTCATTGTTATGTTGATGATACTCAATTATTATTGCCTTTAGGATGTTAAAACCTGGATGACCTGTAATTTTCTAATGTTAAACTCAGATAAAACTGAAGTTATTGTTCTGGGCCTAAGCACCTCCGTGACGCATTATCTAAAGATATAGTTTCCCTTGATGGCATCGTCCTGGCCTCCAGCACCACTGTGAGGAATCTTGGAGTTATCTTTGATCAGGACATGTCGTTTAAGTCTCACATTAAGCAAATTTCAAGGACCGCCTTTTTTCACCTACGTAATATTGCGAAAATCAGGAACATCCTGTCTAAAAATGATGCAGAAAAACTAGTCCATGCATTTGTTACTTCTAGGCTGGATTACTGCAATTCCTTATTATCAGGCTGCTCGAAAAAGTCCATTAAGACTCTTCAGCTGATCCAGAATGCTGCAGCACGTGTTCTGACCAGGAACCAGGAAAAGAATGACATTTCTCCTGTCTTAGCTTCTTTGCATTGGCTTCCAGTAAAATCCAGAATAGAATTTAAAATCATTCTTCTTACCTACAAAGCTCTTAATGGTCAGGCACCATCTTATCTTAAAGAGCTCATAGTACCTTACTACCCCACCAGAGCACTGCGCTCCCAGAATGCAGGGTTACTTGTGGTTCCTAGAGTCTCCAAAAGTAGACTAGGAGCCAGAGCGTTCAGCTATCAAGCTCCTCTCCTGTGGAACCAGGTTCCAGTTTGGGTTCAGGAGGCAGACACCATCTCCACATTTAAGAGTAGGCTTAAGACTTTCCTCTTTGATAAAGCTTATAGTTAGGGCTGGCTCAGGTGACTCCTGAAACATTCCTTATCAGGCTGCAATAGGCCTACAGTGCCGGGGGATTTCCCATAATGCACTGAGCTCCTCTCTCCTCTACTTTCTCTCCCTTTGTATGCAACCTCATCCCATTATTGCATGTTACTAATTCGTGCTACATTCTGATGGCCTAAAACCAACCTGAATTTACTAGCATTACTTACCTGCTAGGACCAGTGTTGGGCAAGTTACTCAGAAATTGTAATAAGTTACTAATTATTACTCCTTCAAAAGGCTTATTACTGGGAGGTTATGTTACTCGTTACATTACTACCTACATTACTATATAACGCAGCGTTACTGGGATTAGTAACTGTAATACAATTACTGTTTTGGAAATAGTAATCCCTTACACTAAAAGATATTGGGAAAAGTAATAATATTACATAGTAGCGCGTTACTGCCCAACACTGGCTAGGACACTAGGACCTGGATTTTCTAGCAATGCAGACTGCAATCAGAGCTGTGATTTGGCTATTGGTGAGGCAAATGGGTAAGTTTACTGTAGGGCTGGACCCGAATATTCAAAATCAAATATTCATCATTGGATACACATTCAATTGTTAATTTTTAAATTCGAATGTTGAGGGTTTTTTTCATGCGCTGGACATCCGCTCACAGCAGTGAACGTAATGCTCCAGTTCACATCAAAGGAAAAGCAAAATGAAGCCCCCAACTGTTTGGCAGCACTTTAAACTGAGTGATGACAGCTGTAATGTGCCAGGTATGGCGAATAATTTTACATTTCATTACAGATCAAAAAAAGTCAAATAGCTAAATTTTTTAATTAATCAGTAGTCTAAACTGTAGGCTACAACAAACTAACAACAACATAATGACCACATTAAATCATTATATTAGGCCGATTGAAGAAGAACATGTAGTAGGCTATAATAAAAGTTAAAAGCGATAGCGCATAATAACGTGTTGTTTTAGTCTCGCTACCGGAAATAGCATCATCCCATCTGCGCTCCTTGGACGCCCGTCCGTCTAATAGACCTATATTACCGTATTCTGCATAAAGGCCTTTTCACACAGGAAGCAATTTACGCGCCTCATAATTCATTTTCAATGAGTGGCGAGCGTGTAGGAAGGGAGGAGCAACAAGCGGGCGTGTTCCCGTAAAACTGTCGCGGTCGTACTCGTCTCACGCACACACGCCCTCCCCTGCCAAAGTTGAATGGACTTGAACTTTCTCTACCCGACCTGCAGCACAAAAAGATGATGCTAGAGAGACTGATCCTCGCCGTCTGTGACTTCCCTGAAATATAAGTGTTCACTGAACAGTTATCGGGACATTAACAGGAGGGCGTTTGCATGACTACATTTATCAGCTAGGCCTATATGAATATGAATAATATATATAATATAATAATATTACCTATCAATTAACGTTACTTATAGTTTTACTTTGAGCTAGGCTATGAAGGAATACAGTAGCGCACAGAAGCCGTTGCTATAGAGCACCTTCCGCTCGCAGACCGCTTGTCTCCCTGTCTGTTCACATGAGAAACGCAGAGCGGGGAAAGGCGACTACGCAGGCGGAGTGTCACTTCCCGTGTGAAAAGACCTTAACGCGACCTCAGACATCAGTCCCTATTAAGCCTCAAATATAGCGGACACGGACAGCTGCGGACCCCGCGGACACGGACTACTTGTATTTATGGGTGTTTCTGCAACTACGGGCATTTTTAAGCCTCAGCAGTGACATTTTAGATTTATGTTAAAATTTTTCATATGATGCTTGATAAATATATGCATATTGTTTTGGCACATCTTGACATAAAACATAATCACAAAATAATGTGATTTAATAAAATTTATGAAGCATTTTATGGGTCCAAACACCACTTTTCTTCATGTCCCACAACTGTGGTCTCAATGTTGAGAGACACAAAACAAACTAATTCATTTACAATATCACATTATTTCAAATGAAATTGTTAGATAAAAATGTTAATTTACAACCAGTTGAAAATCTTTTTTTTGTTTACTGATGATTTATATCCTTTTTTCATCTAAAATCACCTGTCCCACTGAGTCCTTACCACAACACTGAACAAATGTCATAGTAAAGGTTTTTTTCAAAGCGAAACAAATCTAGTTTCTAGAGAAACAGAAGTTAGTAAGTGAGCACATGGATGACAGGTGGGGCCACCCAAATTAGGTGACCCTCAAGATCAAGAAAAATAATGTAAAGATAATCTTCTTAGTTCACACGACATGAGGGAGGGGAAAATATAATTCCAGAGAACTTGTTCAGCTGGTGGACACTAGTCGCCACGCGGACCTGGCACGGACACAAAAAACGAAAGGCGCGCGGACCCTACGCGTACCCCCATCCACAGACGCGGAAAGTATAATCCTTGCCTTAGTCATTCCTCCTGTCGTCGTCATCTTCCTCCTCCCTCTGCTGCTGGGGCTGGTTTATCTCAGCCACCAGCTGAGTTTATAGTGTGCCATATTTTAAGGTATGTGGCAAACTAAAAGTTACTAAAGACAGACAGCTTTCACTTTTAGCTTTTTTGTAACAATGAGCTATTAGCCGAATCAGTGCTGTGCTTGTGTAAAACCAAAACACTGCTGCGGTGGATGAGAGACTGAGCTGATTAAAATATTGCATTCTAAATGTTTATGCTAAACAGGTGTGTTGATAAAGTATCGGCTTTTTACTGGCAAAGGTTTTATTGCACCACGTACTTACACTAAGGAGTGTAGCTATCGTCAACTTCAGTAACGTCACCCGATCAGCTGGCTGTCTTCATTCAGTGTGTATGGAGTGGAGGCGCTCTGGAGAGACTGCAGGTCAAGCAGTCCTTATTGTTGAGCCCTGGACTGGCAGTGATCGGTACAGCGCATGTGAAACTCTCAACAGAGATGAGAAGGAAACGCAATAGCTCACTTCCCACACTACTTCCATACGCTATATATGTAGTTAACTTTGTTGTCATATCTAAGATTATGTTTGCTGCGTGACACGGAGGTTGCTTCGGGGCTGAATGTGGCCCACGGACCACCAATTGGATTGGGCTACTGTGAATGTAAATACATTAAATTGCATCTGGATTTTGAAATGACAAATGCAAATACGGACATGGATAGTGTTTTTGACCTCCATTTTGTAAAGTGGACTGGACTAACAATGGACCAGAATGAAGAAGAGGAAGGATCACTGACTTTGTACTTGTGAAAATCAAGATAGATACACTAGATGTCCTTTAAGGTGTCCCTGTTCCAATCTGACCTGGTTTCTTTGGCAAGTTGGTGCTGAGTCAGCCCATGCAAACAGATGAGCTCATACTCATTCTCATGCCCAAAAGGCACTGGCACTGGAATGAATGTTCTCCTTTTACTTACAAAGCTCCAGTGTATCCTGGTGAGCACTTGCATTCTCCGGTCACATGGTGACAGGTGGCTCCATTCTGGCACTGGCATTTCTGTTGGCATCCGTTACCATAGGTGCCCACTTCACACTGGGCCTCACAGCGCCAGCCTCTATATCCAGGAGTGCAGATACAGGCTCCTGTGATGGGGTTACACAATGCTCCGTTCTGGCACTGACATCTGTTACTGCAGTGAGGACCCCAATGGTAACTGTCACAAGCTGAGGGGAAGATGAAGGAAAGGAATCCAGATTTAGTTTATCTTGTTTGACATGGCACATGTCACATGTTGTCATATGTGATTAGTTGCCAGGCTTCAAGAGTAAGTCTTACTTATGTAAGCTACATATATTTCACTATGTCAATCTGCCAGATGAAGACATTATATAAAGATCTGACCGCTTGTATACCACTTCAGATTATTCAGCCCTCTAACAGCCTCTTTTCACCAAGGATACCATGTTCAGCCTGCTTTTGGGACCCTTTTACACCAAACCTAATGTATGCATGTCAATCTGTCAACACATGATGCAGGGCTGGAAGAGTCACATTGTTCTCTGTTCTTTTATCATCCAGGTAATCAATGGTCTTGTAATTCTTTTTCACCTCATGAACCATGATGTAAGTGTAACCCTGATCTTAAAGTGGGTCATAAAAATTTAAACCACAAGAGCAATAGTGCAAACGAATAGGAGAGTTAAATGTGGACTCTTAAACATCAGATCTCTCTCTTCTAAAGGTGTACTAGTAAATGAACTAATATCAGATTATGATATTGATTTATTTTGTCTTACTGAAACCTGGCTGGGTGATGGAGAATATGTTAGCCTAAATGAATCCAACCCTCCCAGTCATATTAATACTCACATTCCTCGAGGCACAGGCCGAGGAGGTGGAGTTGCAGCTATCTTCGACTCTAGCCTATTAATCAGCTCTAAACCTATAACTCATTTGAAAGCCTTGTTCTTAGTCTTTCACACCCAAGCTGGAAATCACTGCAACCAATTCTTTTTGTTATAGTGTACCGAGCACTTGGTCCACACTTATTATTGTAGGGGATTTTAATATTCATGTGGACGTTGAAAATGACAGCTTCAGTACTGCGTTTATCTCTCTGTTAGATTCCATTGGCTTCTCTCAGAGTGTTCATGAACCGACTCACTGTTATAACCACACCCTCGACCTTGTTTTGGTATACGGTATTGAAATTGAACATTTAGTGGTGTTCACACAGAATCCCTCTTTATCTGACCACTGTTTAATAACTTTTGAGTTTGTATTGCTGAACTACACGCCATTGGGCAAAAATTTCTATACAAGATGTCTGTCTGATAGTGCTATAGCTAAATTTAAGGATGCGATTCCATCAGCTCTAAATTCATTATCAAGTCACAAAGTAACAGAGGACTCCTATGCTAGTTTCAGTCCCTCCCAAATCGATTATCTTGTTGATAGTGCTGCAGGCTCCTGCGAATGACACTCTACTCTGTAGCCCCTCTAAAAAAGAAAATACTAAAACAAAGACGGTTAGCTCCATTGTATAATACTGAAACTCGCAAATTAAAGCAAATATCGCGGAAACTTGAGAGGAATTGGCGTTCTACCAAACTGGAAAATTCTTGTTTAATTTGGCAAGATAGTCTTAAAACTTATAGGAAGGCCCTCCGTAATGCCAGAGCAGCGCACTACTCATCATTAATAGAGGAAAATAGGAACAACCCCAGGTTTCTTTTCAGCACTGTAGCCAGGCTGACAGAGAGTCACAGCTCTATTGAGCCAAGTATTCCCATAACTCTCAGTAGTTACGACTTCTTGAGCTTCTTTAATGATAAAATTCTAGCTATTAGAGACAAAATTCACCAAGACCTGCCCTCAACCGGCACCGAATTATCTCTAAACTCAGGAACCTTAGATACAGCTGTAGAACCAGATATATGTTTAGACTGTTTTGCTTCCCTCAACCTTTACCAACTAACTTCAATAATTTCTTCATCTAAACCATCAACCTGCCTCTTAGACCCCATCCCGGTAGGTTGCTTAAAGATGTTTTACCCTTAGTCAGCACTTCTATGCTAGATATAATCAATCTATCTTTATCAACAGGCTATGTACCACAGTACTTTAAAGTAGCTGTAATTAAACCTCTTCTGAAAAAGCCCAAACTTGATCCGGATGTTTTAGCCAACTATAGACCTATATCTAACCTTCCATTTCTCTCTAAGGTTCTGGAGAAAGCAGTTGCTAAACAGCTGTGTGACTTTCTACAGAGCAATAGTTTATTTGAGGATTTTAAGTCAGGATTTAGAGCTCATCATAACACAGAGACAGCACTGATGAAAATTACTAACGACCTCCTTATTGCATCAGACAAAGGACTTGTCTCTGTACTGGTTTTATTAGATCTTAGTGCTGCATTTGATACCATTGACCATCAGATCCTATTGCAGAGACTGGAACATTTCATTGGCATTTAAGGGACCGCTCTAAGCTGGTTTAAGTCCTATTTATCAGATCGATTTCAGTTTGTATATGTTAACGATGAGTCCTCCATGCATGCCAAAGTTAGTCATGGAGTTCCACAAGGATCTGTCCTCAGACCAATCCTCTTCACTTTATATATGCTTCCTTTAGGCAATATTATCAGGAAATATTCCATAAACTTTCATTGTTATGCAGATGATACCCAGTTATATCTATCGATCAAACCAGATGAAACTCATCAGTTAGCTAAACTTCAAATGTGCCTTCAGGATGTTAAAACCTGGATGACCTGTAATTTTCTAATGTTAAACTCAGATAAAACTGAAGTTATTGTTCTGGGGCCCAAGCACCTCCGTCACGCATTATCTAAAGATATAGTTTCCCTTGATGGAATTGCCCTGGCCTCCAGCACCACTGTGAGGAATCTTGGAGTTATCTTTGATCAGGACATGTCGTTTAAGTCTCACATTAAGCAAATTTCAAGGACCGCCTTTTTTCACCTACGTAATATTGCGAAAATCAGGCAATCATCCTGTCTAAAAATGATGCAGAAAAACTAGTCCATGCATTTGTTACTTCTAGGCTGGATTACTGCAATTCTTTATTATCAGGCTGCTCGAAAAAGTCCGTTAAGACTCTTCAGCTGATCCAGAATGCTGCAGCACGTGTTCTGACAGGAACCAGGAAAAGAGATCATATTTCTCCTGTCTTAGCTTCTTTGCATTGGCTTCCAGTAAAATCCAGAATAGAATTTAAAATCATTCTTCTTACCTACAAAGCTCTTAATGGTCAGGCACCATCTTATCTTAAAGAGCTCATAGTACCTTACTACCCCACCAGAGCACTGAGCTCCCAGAATGCAGGGTTACTTGTGGTTCCTAGAGTCTCCAAAAGTAGACTAGGAGCCAGAGCATTCAGCTATCAAGCTCTGTGGCTGCGGGTCACCTGCTGCCCCCGTGTTCCTGCTCGACACCCTCTGCTACAACAACTATTGTTACTAGTCCTATTATTATTATTGTTATTATAATAATTAACACTACGACTGTTACCATTAACACTACTATAAATATCTGTACCATTTTTTCATTTAGTCTATAGCAACATCACCTTTACTGTCTGTACCTCTGTGTGTATATTGTGTAGGCTGCCTCCCTCCCCTCTCTCTCTCCTTCCATCCCTCTCCTGCCCTCTCTCTCTCTCTCTCTCTCTCTCTCTCTCTCTCTCTCGCTCTCTCTCTCCTTCACTCCCAACCGGTCGAGGCAGATGGCCGCCCACCCTGAGCCATGGTTCTGCTCGAGGTTTCTGCCTCTTAAAAGGAAGTTTTTCCTTGCCTCTGTCGCCTAGTGCTGCTCTTGGTGGGAACTGTTGGGCTTCTGTAAATAGCATCATAGAGTACGGTCTAGACCTGCTCTTTTATGAAAAGCACTGTGAGATAACTGTTGTTGTGATTTGGCGCTATATAAATAAAATTGAATTGAATTGAATTCAAATAAAATGTATTATTATTATTATTATTAGATTGAAACAAAAACAACCTTCCTTTCCTCAATTGCAGTTTTAAGAAGAGTCATTCTTACTCCGGCACCCTCACCTGGACCAGACTTTGTGAGTTGCTGGTTACCTCTAGCTACATTAATTACCCCTCTTGTTTTTTTGTTGTATAAGGAAAGAAAGAAGCCAGCACATTGAAATATTAATTATTAATACAAGTTATGTCTTTTGGAACTGATGGAATAACTTTTTCCTCTGCAAACAATCCAACAAAGATTCAGCCCCAGAACATTGCAGGAAAGAAGAGTTAAATGGTTCATGTGAGAAGGAATAACCAACATGGAAAAGTGCCACTGTTTAATAATATACACTTAAGTCCTGTCCCACTCCCTATCCCCGCACAGACCACATTCATTACAGCACACTAACATATACACAGTCAACATGTCCAATCAACCGAGGAACAGTTTCTTCCCATAAGCCATCACTCTGATGAACAGCTGATTTCTGACTCACAGTGTCAGGAACAATTCCTGTGCAATAACCCAGTAACTATGCCTCTAATCAGCCACCTGTTTACTGGTTACCACTTGTTATTTATTCACCATTCCCTATTTCAGTGCTTTTCATACGTCATTGTCATATTGTAGAAACTGTATACCAAATCCACCAACCTCAAGTCATTACTCCTGCACAAAATACTTATTTATTCCAGCATCCTTTGTACTATGCTTGATTGCACTGTGTACATGAGTACATGTATGCATGTATGTGTACCTGTATAGCACATCCACCTCCTCCAAACATCAGACCAGCAGCATCAATAGACCAACAACCAGACAGCTGCTTTACCAACACAAACATCACCCGAGTATTATACAAGTTACACTTGTATAATACTCCCCAACACCCAGTTAACTCCTGACTGTGACGTTACAACAAACACACGTGTGTACATTATCAGCTGAGGACTGCGGCTTACTTTAGCTAGCCTTCAACTCAACAATCAATCATGATTTCTGTTAAATGCTAAAGTTGCTGTTACTGTTACCTTAAGTTTTAGTTTGAAATAATCCCATATTTTGGACACTTTCTTCTTCGTCCCTCACTATTTTCTCTCTCTTCCTCCACTTTGCAAACAGCAACAGCGCTTTCCTGTGTGAACACGACGTGAATATGATTCACGTCGTGTTCACACAGGAAAGCGCTATGTGCGACAGTAATAAATGTCCGTGCACAACAGTGTGCT